GTTAATGATCCTCCTCCTGTACCTGCCAAAGAAATACAACCTCTTCCTGATCCTAATTCTCCACTGGATAACCCTCCTGTTGCAGCCAAAGAAATTGAACCCATTCCCACTCCAATCTCCAGAGTTAATGATCCTCCTGTTGCAGCCAAACAAATTGAACCTCTTCCTACTCCAATCTCCAGAGTTAATGATCCTCCTCCTGTACCTGCCAAAGAAACAGAACTTCTTCCTGATCCCAATTCCCCAGTGGATAACCCTCCTGTTGCAGCCAATCAAATTGAACCTCTTCCTACTCCAATCTCCAGAGTTAATGATCCTCCTCCTGTACCTGCCAAAGAAATAGAACTTCTTCCTAATCCCAATTCCCCAGTGGATAACCCTCCTGTTGCAGCCAAACAAATTGAACCACTTCCTACTCCAATCTCCAGAGTTAATGATCCTCCTCCTGTACCTGCCAAAGAAACAGAACCTCTTGCTGATCCCAATTCCCCAGTGGATAACCCTCCTGTCGCAGCCAAACAAATTGAACCTCTTCCTACTCCAATCTCCAGAGTTAATGATCCTCCTCCTGTACCTGCCAAAGAAATAGAACTCTTCCTAATCCCAATTCCCCAGTGGATAACCCTCCTGTTGCAGCCAAACAAATTGAACCTCTTCCTACTCCAATCTCCAGAGTTAATGATCCTCCTCCTGTACCTGCCAAAGAAACAGAAACTCTTGCTGATCCCAATTCCCCAGTGGATAACCCTCCTGTCGCAGCCAAACAAATTGAACCTCTTCCTACTCCAATCTCCAGAGTTAATGATCCTCCTCCTGTACCTGCCAAAGAAATAGAACCTCTTCCTAATCCCAATTCCCCAGTGGATAACCCTCCTGTTGCAGCCAAACAAATTGAACCTCTTCCTACTCCAATCTCCAGAGTTAATGATCCTCCTCCTGTACCTGCCAAAGAAACAGAACTTCTTCCTGATCCCAATTCCCCAGTGGATAACCCTCCTGTTGCAGCCAATCAAATTGAACCTCTTCCTACTCCAATCTCCAGAGTTAATGATCCTCCTCCTGTACCTGCCAAAGAAACAGAACTTCTTCCTGATCCCAATTCCCCAGTGGATAACCCTCCTGTTGCAGCCAATCAAATTGAACCTCTTCCTACTCCAATCTCCAGAGTTAATGATCCTCCTCCTGTACCTGCCAAAGAAACAGAACTTCTTCCTGATCCCAATTCCCCAGTGGATAACCCTCCTGTTGCAGCCAAACAAATTGAACCTCTTCCTACTCCAATCTCCAGAGTTAATGATCCTCCTCCTGTACCTGCCAAAGAAATAGAACCTCTTTCTCATCTCAATTCCCGACTTAATAATTCTCCTTTTGCAAGCGTAGAAATGGAACCCATTCATACTCGAATCTCCAGAGTTAATGATCCTCCTCCTGTACCTGCCAAAGAAATAGAACCTCTTCCTAATCCCATTTCCCCAGTGGATAACCCTCCTGTTGCAGCCAATCAAATTGAACCTCTTCCTACTCCAATCTCCAGAGTTAATGATCCTCCTCCTGTACCTGCCAAAGAAACAGAACTTCTTCCTGATCCCAATTCCCCAGTGGATAACCCTCCTGTCGCAGCCAAACAAATTGAACCTCTTCCTACTCCAATCTCCAGAGTTAATGATCCTCCTCCTGTACCTGCCAAAGAAATAGAACTCTTCCTAATCCCAATTCCCCAGTGGATAACCCTCCTGTTGCAGCCAAACAAATTGAACCTCTTCCTACTCCAATCTCCAGAGTTAATGATCCTCCTCCTGTACCTGCCAAAGAAACAGAACTTCTTCCTGATCCCAATTCCCCAGTGGATAACCCTCCTGTTGCAGCCAATCAAATTGAACCTCTTCCTACTCCAATCTCCAGAGTCAATGATCTTCCTCCTGTACCTGCCAAAGAAACAGAACTTCTTCCTGATCCCAATTCCCCAGTGGATAACCCTCCTGTTGCAGCCAATCAAATTGAACCTCTTCCTACTCCAATCTCCAGAGTTAATGATCCTCCTCCTGTACCTGCCAAAGAAATAGAACCTCTTCCTAATCCCAATTCCCCAGTGGATAACCCTCCTGTTGCAGCCAAACAAATTGAACCTCTTCCTACTCCAATCTCCAGAGTTAATGATCCTCCTCCTGTACCTGCCAAAGAAACAGAACTTCTTCCTGATCCCAATTCCCCAGTGGATAACCCTCCTGTTGCAGCCAATCAAATTGAACCTCTTCCTACTCCAATCTCCAGAGTTAATGATCCTCCTCCTGTACCTGCCAAAGAAACAGAACTTCTTCCTGATCCCAATTCCCCAGTGGATAACCCTCCTGTTGCAGCCAATCAAATTGAACCTCTTCCTACTCCAATCTCCAGAGTCAATGATCTTCCTCCTGTACCTGCCAAAGAAACAGAACTTCTTCCTGATCCCAATTCCCCAGTGGATAACCCTCCTGTTGCAGCCAATCAAATTGAACCTCTTCCTACTCCAATCTCCAGAGTTAATGATCCTCCTCCTGTACCTGCCAAAGAAATAGAACCTCTTCCTAATCCCAATTCCCCAGTGGATAACCCTCCTGTTGCAGCCAAACAAATTGAACCTCTTCCTACTCCAATCTCCAGAGTTAATGATCCTCCTCCTGTACCTGCCAAAGAAACAGAACTTCTTCCTGATCTCAATTCCCCAGTGGATAACCCTCCTGTTGCAGCCAATCAAATTGAACCTCTTCCTACTCCAATCTCCAGAGTCAATGATCTTCCTCCTGTACCTGCCAAAGAAACAGAACTTCTTCCTGATCCCAATTCCCCAGTGGATAACCCTCCTGTTGCAGCCAATCAAATTGAACCTCTTCCTACTCCAATCTCCAGAGTTAATGATCCTCCTCCTGTACCTGCCAAAGGAATAGAACCTCTTTCTCATCTCAATTCCCGACTTAATAATTCTCCTTTTGCAAGCGTAGAAATGGAACCCATTCATACTCGAATCTCCAGAGTTAATGATCCTCCTCCTGTACCTGCCAAAGAAATAGAACCTCTTCCTAATCCCATTTCCAAAGTTAATGATCCTCCTGTTGCAGACAAAGAAATGAAACCCCTTCCTATTCCCAACTCCCAAGTGGATGATCCTACTCCTGTACTTGCCAAAGAAACAGAATCTGTTCATGTTCTCATCTCCGATATGGATGGTTCTCCTGCTCATCAGGATCTTAAAATAAACGTGTTTACACCAAGTAATTCCATCATTGATCTGATCCCTCTGTATTTACAAGGACCTTGCTTATCTGGATGGATGTATCATCCTCACTATACTTTCTGTTACCAATTTGTCCACACCAAAATGAACTGGCTACAAGCTGAGGCAAGATTCTGATCTCTTTTCTTCATCCTATTAGTATAATGCACCAGTTGCTATACAACTAGGAAAACTCAATAAAATAAATTAAGTGCTAGATTATATTTCAATTTTTAATATCAGATTAATGAAGTATATTCCAGCATGTGCAAAAAGTGAATTGTGTAATGAATATACGTTAAAATGTTTGGCAATTAGGTGGGTGTGGGAATTTGCAATGGATCTTGCACTGGACAAAATCAGCACTGGTGAGCAGGGATTGCTTGGTTTTCTGTACAGTTTATAGATTTGAGAACTCCTCAGCTGCCTATTCTTCATATGGTCAGGTTGGTTCAGTAATATCTCAAGAGAGGTTGGATAGTGTACGTACAAGGACTGAAGATTGGCAAATTAAGTTCAATACAAATAACTGCAAGGTACTGCATATAGGTAAATAAAGCAAGAAGTTGTAAAATATGAGGCACGTGTACTGCATGAATGATTTAGAACTTTGCAAGGGGCAACTGAAAGAGACCTTGGGTGTATTAGTTGAAAACACAAGGCAGCAGGATGCTGAGCTATATTGCCAAATCAGTTGAGTTCAGATCCGCAAGAGATGTGCTCAACCTGTATAATGCCGCTCTGATTCGGCCACCATTAATTTTGGTCTCTGCGATATAACAGGCTACCCAGGCCCTATGCGCAGCAGAAGAGAGCAACAAGTGTTAGAAGAATGAACAGCAATTAAACATAGGGACGTTTGGAGAAAGCTTTATAGAGGTGTATAAGCTTTAAAAAGGGATTGAAAAAGTAAATGCAGAAAAATATTTCAGATATGGAATGGCCTCCTTCTGTGCCGTAACATTCTATGAAAAATCAATGAATATGTCTACGCAGCAGAACAAGAGGACACACATTCTGGGGTGCAAAGAGTAATTTAAGAACCAACAGCAGGAAGTATTTTATTACCCAGAGGGCAATTGCTGACTGGAACAGATTATCAGGCAGAGTGGTTGATGCCAGAGCATTGGACTAATTTAAGAAACAGCTTGATATTGGGTATGTGGGCAGGTATTCTAGAGGATGAGATCAAATGGGCTGAAAGGTCTTCTTCATATTGTGAAGAATATCTTCATATTCTCTTGTGATCTTGTGAACCTCACTGGTTGAAAAAAAAGGACTGTCTGTATTTCAATTTGTTTTCCTTCTTCCCCATACTTTATACTATTCCCTTAAGCATCCCCTTCTTCAAGGGGTACTGAAAATAGAAGTGTCTCAACAGAAGCACAATTAAAATTGCTTCCAAGGCTCATGTATCTGTTCAGATAAAGGTCATAAAATTATCAATCTTTGCTTTTGTAGTCTGAAGCCATCACTGAGATTCCTGCCCAGAAATCACTCCCAATTTTCTAATTGGCTCTATTTAATACTGTTGAATTGGACAACTTTAATTTGCATTCAGTGCTTGGTTAAATCAGAATAGAATAAATGTAAGGCTTCATTGTATTTTAGTACTAGTGTATTCATCATTAAAAAGCAAATGTCCGATACTGACTGCTGCACAGTTAAAAATATTAATAATCACTTTTCATTTAAAGCTGTTCTGTGTATCACATTCCAAAAATGGTCATCTTGCCTCAATACACCGGGAACAACAAAATAAATTCATTATGGATTTCATAAATGAAATGGACGAATCGCTTCCCGACACTTGGATTGGTTTTAGCGATTGCCACCAGGTGAATATGACAGAGTCTCTGAATTACAAGTTACAATATTTGATATTTAACAGAAATAAACATTAAGTACTAACATTATATCTCACACAGGAAGGCACTTTTATGTGGACTGATGGATCTCTATCAGATTACACACAATGGATATCAGGCGAATTTAATAATGAAAATGAGAAAGAAAATTGTGTGCACATTGATTTTCAAGGTATGTTACAGACTGCATTACAAGTGTACTTTTCTGCATATTAATTCCAGATACATTGATGTACTGACTGAAACACTATGATGGTATTATATAGTATTCACAAATGGGATCCAAAATGGCAATTGTACTGAGATTTCAACAGTAACTTGTACTTATATAGTGCCCTCCATGCAAGGTAGCATCTCAGAGTGCTTAGAATTCAGTTTTCTGACCAGTTTTGTTGACGTTGCTCTCGCTAGCTGTAATGGTAAAATATTATTCATAGGAGAGCCAATAGAAACTTACAGAAATATTTCCCCATTATTGCAGGGAAATTTTACAAATTTTGCAGAATATTGCAGGGAGTTGATTGGTACTATTGAGGTACATCTTAGTACCAACCCACACTTTTGCACATCATTCATAAAAACTAAACATGAAGAAATGACACATTAGGCTGTTGCATTAGGCTGTCACAAAAACATACAGAGAGAGAGAGAGACACACAATCATACACATACACATATACAGAGGAGTGAGAGACATACACAGACAAGAGGTATGTGAGCAAACTGCTATCAGATTTTTTTTATTATGTCAAGTGATTAGAGCACTCACCTCGCAAGCGAGAGACCTGGGTTCTATTCCTGGCAGGGCGAAATGTTGGGCAAGTTTCCTTACTCCACACAGCCCTATTTACCTAGCAGTAAGTAGGAACCCGATTCTTAGTTAATTGGGGGATCGCTTTTCCGGGCGTAATAATGTCTCTCAAAAAAAAAAAAATTTGGTTACTCAATCCACGACTGTTTGTGGGACACTGCTGTAGCAATTGGCTGCTGTGTTTCGCCCGCTAACATATAGTAAATTCACTTCACAGTATATGTTCTGTGAAGCGCTTAGCGACGGCTAGAAGATGTGAAAAGCGTTATATCAAATGCAAGGGTTATTATTTATTATTATAGACAATCTCAAAAGCGGCGCCTTGGAGTGGAGAGAAGCCCATTTTTCCGCTCACACCACTCCACCCACAGAAACGGCACAGCTTTGCTGACAGTAGCGGCGGGTAAACAGCCGTCAGCAATGCGCAGAGGGCTGGGCACTGGAAATTTAGTTGTTTAGCGTTTTTTAGCAGAGGGCGCTGTTTATAGCAAATTCCATAAAAAAATTGCAGCCCCACTTTCTTATTAGTCCAGCTCATGGCCCATAGTCCATCTCTTTAGAATCAGCAGCGATGAAATGAGGTATCGTTGATAATTGCACCATAATTAATTAGTAGACCTCTAGTGTACACACACACAGCCATCTTAGAGGGAAAGGATTGCGGTGTGAGCTTATTCAACATTCAGGGAAGATGGAAACTTGCTAAAACATTCTTTCAGTATTATAACAGTAAGAGTGTAGTCAAGGAAGATTTTCAAACTTTAAGGAATTCAAAGAGGAGTTGAAAAAGAAAATGAACAGGAGATAGCAAACATATTAAATACTATGCTAAAAGAGTTAAATTGTGAGGACAGGTTGGATAAACTTGGTCTCTATTCCTTTGAATATAGAAGGTAGAGGGTGATCTAACTGAAGTGTTTAAAATTGTAAAGGGATTCGATTAGGTAGCTACAGAGAAACCATTTCTTCAAGGGGGCACAATCTTTTATTAGAGCTAGGCCATTTAGGAACGTAATCAGGAAACACTTTTTCACACAAAGGGTAGTGGAAATCTGGAACTCTCTCCCCCAAAAGGCTATGGATGCTGAATCAATTCCAATTTTCAAGAACTGAGGTCGATAGATTTTTGTTAGGTGAGGTATCAAGGGATACGAAGCAAAGGCAGTAAATGGAGTTGAGGTACAGATCAACCATGATCTAATAGAATGGCAGAACAGGCTTGAGGGGTTGAATGGCCCACTCGTGTTCCTATAAATAAGTACTTTTGGGAGGCATTTATCAGGGATAGATATATAAATATACATATATAAATATATAAAAATATATAATACATATGTAAATATATATTTATATACATCCCCACCATCATCATCCAGTAAACATTATTTGAGCTCCAGGACTTTAACATAAGTGATATTGAGATTCTATATAGGCTCAAAGGCTTTAGAACCAACAAATCCCCCAGAACTGATGAACTGTAAATCAGGGTATTTGGGGAGATTTGTGCACAGAACGATATTATGAGGGAATCAACGGTCACTGGGGAGGTTTCAATTTCAGGAAGTTTTTCTTTACCCAGAGTGTAATTAACGATTGGAATAGGTTACAGGAAGGCAGGGAGGTTAAGGCTGGATACTGGATTAATTTTAAAACAATGTGATGCTATGATGGGAGGACTGTTGGGTGGGTGTTCTGGAAGGATGAGATCAGATGGTTCTCGGGCCTTTTTCAGCCGAACTAATTTTGTGAAAAGTTTCCACATCTAGCCCACGCTTTACCCTTTGGGACATTCTCCTTCCCTCCTTTCCACAGACACCATTTGTTTTATTCAGTACTAAAATGGCAGGATACTGCCATCAGAGAGCATAATAATATAAATTAGGGACTTGCCTCCTACAAAGGGAAATATACTCAAAGATAAAGTGACTATTTAGCACTGCGGGTGAGCCTTTCACAGCACCCTGAGCCTCTGATGTATTTAGCTGCTTTAGTCTAGAACTATCTCAACCAGTATTTATGCAAAGCAGATGATGAATGGCTGCGTCTAAATAGAATAAAAAGGATGAAACAGATATACAAATAGCACAAGCTGAGTCACTGATGATTGTTCATCTCAACATTGTTTCTTTCTTTCAGGATCTCTTGGGTCATGGAATGATGCGTCCTGTTCGACACAATTGCCTTTTATTTGTGCCTACAGAATCTGAAGCCATTTAAAAACAACTTACATTCATTAATCCTTTCCAGGAATGGATTCCCTATCTTTATTTGTTCTCTAATGCCACTGTCACTGTGCTTATGGTGGCTACATTGACTTTCTCCAGAAGCAAATAATTCATGCAGTTAAAACAAGCGATGGCAAAATAATGCATTTGTTTGGATTTATTTTCGATAGCACACACCATTTATGATATTCATTTTAAATTTAGTTTTATGATTTATTCCTCATTGTTCTGAACATGTGCAGGACATGGTAAACAATCCTGAGGGATTATATATGCTTTAATCACTACTGAAATTGGCACAAATTCAATATTGTACCAATAATGCATCCAGTATAAAGTGCTGATGTATGACTTAACCCATAAATTGACATCCTGATTATGTACAACATTATTAGTTGTTGGCACCGGAAAGGAATAGCCACTTAAGGAAAGGATATGTGGGAAGGTCATGTTTGCTTTAACCAACTGAGCTGACATATGAATTTATGATCCTTTGTTAGGTCAGAAATAAGAATCCGTTCCTGCCCAGTCTGTTTTCCATAAGAACTTTAAGATGGCACCAAAATGGGCGTTCCATTCGTATTAGACATAAAGTGAGTTTGTAATAAAATAATAACTGCTAACTTTACATTGGATAAAGTAAATCATTGCATCTCACCACATTAGCAAACACCAAATGCAAATACCACCACCAACAAATTACGTATGTTGTTAAATATATGTAAACAGATGTTGATTAGCACAACATCATTTAAACTGTAACTGTTAAAATAAAGCTCCAAAATATCATCCAATAGTTTGTATACTATCTCACAACAACAACAACAACAAGATTCCATTTATAAAGCGCCTTTCACGTCAGGAGGACGTCCCAAGGCGCTGCACAGTTGGGTCATGACCCGAGCAGGGGGGAAATGGTCAGGGTGAGGGGAGGGGAGGGAGCAAGGAGGGGGGAAATGGTCAGGGTGAGGGGAGGGAAGGGAGGGAGCGAGGAGGGGGAAGAGAGTCGAGAGGGGAGCTGAAGGCACGGTGAAAGAGAAAGGTTTTGAGACCGGCCTTGAAGGAGGAAAGGAGGAAGCAAGGCGAAGGCACTGGGGGATGGAGTTCCAGAGCCTGGGGGCTGAGAGGCTGAAGGCCCGACCACCGATGGTAGGGCGATTGGGGCGGGGGACGTGGAGCAGACCGGAGCCAGAGGAACTGAGGGTATGGGCAGGTAGGTAGGGGGATAGTAGGTTGGAGAGGTAGGAGGGAGCAAGGCCGTGAATGGCCTTGTAGGTGAGGATGAGGATCTTGAAATCAAGATCACCTTCATAAAGTTAATAACAAAACTACACCAGAAGGAACAGATTTTGACACCTGAAAAGCAGTCAAATTTTTCTAAAAGATAGAACAAAATTACATTTGTATAAGTGCCTTTCATGTCGGGAGGACCTTCCAAGGCGCTGAACAACCAGTGTTTCGAATCCAAGCTGGAAGTCGGGATGGGGAGGGTGGAGGGCAAGGAGGGAAGGAGGGTGATTGAAAGCACAGTCAAAGAGGAGGTCTTGAAGGAGGCAAGGGAGGGGGTGAGGCGAGGGACTGTGGGATGGAGTTCCAGAGGGTGGGGGTAGAGTAGCTGAGTGTCTGCCTGCCAATGGTGCAGCGGGCAAGACAGGGGTCATGAAGCAGAATGGACAGGGGTCATGAAGCTGGTGAGTGGAGGGAGCGGGTAGGTAGGTAGGGGTTTAGGAGTAGCAGAGGTAGGGAGAGCAAGGCCATGATGAGCTTTGAAGGTGAGGACCAGGATCTTGAACTGTATCCTCTGTGTGATGCGAAGCCAGTGGAATTGGGTGCAAGCGCTGTGAGATGCCGTCCGGTGTGGAGGGCGCTATATAAATCCAAGCTGTTGTTGTTGGATGAGGATGGGAGGTGATAGGATCACGAAATCTGGTGTGGGAGAGGACACGGGCTGCAGAGTTCTGGATGATCTGCAGCCTAAGGGAGGAGTCGGGGAGGCCGATAAGCAGGGAGTTTGTGTCGTCGAGCCTGGATGTTATGAATGCATGCATGAGAGTCTCGGCGGCCTGCGAAGTGAGACAGTGGTGGAGCCGAGCAATGCTGCGGAGATGGGGGAAGGTAGAGAGAGTCATGGCACGGATGCGGGGTAGAAAGATCAGTTGATGGTCAAATGAGACGCCAAGGTTCCGGATTGAGGTGGAATGAGCATTCTTGGATGGTGATGTTGTCAGTGGCTGAGGCACTGATGGGAGCCAATTATGAGAGCCTCGGTCTTGTTTGAATCGTTGGATAGAACATATCTTGTAGTTTTCTCACCTCCTCTTCTGAAGGCATTCACTCATGCTATGGTGTAATTTGTTAAGTGCTAGTTGCTCTCGGTATTTCACCCAAGTGTCTACTCTTGTGCAGGAAGTATGTCCATGTTTGTTTTTTGGCAGGAAAATTGACTCTGAGGCGCTATCAAAACTGAGATTTATCTCTCCCTCTCTCACACACACACATATACAGCGTGGAGTCCTGTAGCTTAGTGGTTAGAGCACTCACTCAATCCACGACTGTTTGTGGGACACTGCTGTGCGCAATTGGGTGCTACGTTTCGCCCACAAAATATACACTCAATTCACTTTACAGTATATTCTGTGAAGCGCTTTGAGATGTCTCGAAGACGTGATAAGGCACTATATCAAATGCAAGCTTTATCATTTATTATTATACTCACTCTCTACTGAATCGGTAATAGCATCCTGGAGCGGAAACCCAACTAATTATTTTGAGTCTCCAGAGTGGGGACACAGAGGCCAGTAGAGTCCCGCTTTTACTTTTGCTGAGAGCCAATCACCCAGCAGAGAGCAGCAATCCAACATGGCATCTTCTTGACACAATAGCATTATCAGGTAAAGCACGAATACCCGTTTTATGTTGGGTTTATACTAATGGAGGCAAAGCCACTTCACTTTCTACAGTGTAGGCATGTGGAACAGTAACCCTAACTTTTAGTTTCTGCTCTACATGTCATTTAAGTCAGGGCAGCATGCAGAGAACGTCAAATCAGATATTAAATGGTTAACACACTGAGGAGGAATAAAAACAATTCCCCCATAAAACTGTGTCCAGGGTCCACATCACTCCTGAACTTGGTGAGTGATCCTGGCAATGGCTGCCACAGCATAAAATTATTTCATTCTCAAGCATTGTTCTTCTTCACATTCACCAGCATAAAATGAAATATTTAAATGGGCAATAAGAAAGTAAGGATTTTACGTATGCTCACCAAATATCTAACTTTGAAATATATAATAATAATAATCCTTGCATTTGATATAGCATTTTTCACGTCTTCTCAACATCTCAAAGCGCTTCACAGAATAGACTGTAAAGTGAATTGACCGTATATTCGTGGGCGAAATGTATAGAATCTGCCCCTATCACACCTTATAAAAATATCGTTGTCTAACAAATGAAAGTTACCTTATGATTTCTACATATAGGGAATGAGTTTGTGTATTTGTATTAGTCAATATATTCTATAATGTATTCTGGGTATATCTGACACTTCTCGAATATAACAAAAATAGTTGGGTCAGAGGGGAAATCAACGCAGCTATCATATAGATTGGTGTTTCTGCCATCTTTGCGTGGTGGTTGGTGATAACCTGGGCGTCCTTGAGTGAATTCTCCGACCAATACGCGTGCCAAGAACATGAACCTAGTGTCTGCAGTGAAATCTGAATACAAGTCCATTTTGGAATCCAAAGCATCCCTGGCAAAGTACCTCCCTGCAGACAAAACAAACAGATTGATTTCTTGTTACATCCCGACAAGACGCAATCTCTGGAGCATTCTTCATTTCTTCTCCTGAAGGTTTAAAATGAGGTATTCACAAATCGGAAATCCTGCCAGTAATAAAGATGTGAGTCATGCCGACTTGCAGAAATTCTGCTGCAACATGACCAGAAGGAGATTGTGTCAGAGAGGATTCCTCACAGGTCAGAATGATACACATTTGGTTTCCAGCAGAATTCAATATTTCAAATTCTGTGCAAAATCTGCAAGTTTGACCTCATTCTCATTTAAATCAATATTTTAAGCAAAAGCTTTTTACCCTCATCGCGTCTACCCCACAAAGATCTCAATCACATCTGTTTACTCTTCTGGGAATTGTGTTTTGATAACGTGTTCCCTGACACCAAGTTTGCAGATGAGTCATGCATCCCTGCATCTCTGTTTTGCAAACCCAGTCATTGGGCTCTATAGATGGGTCATACCTACTGCCCAAGTGCTTTCTTGCTCCTGCAGTCTACTGGGTTTTATGCTGCATCTTGGCACCAATAAACCACTAAATTTTGATTCATCTCATCCTTTTTCCTACCATTCTTATTATTATTATTCTTGGTCTTAGAGGTGAAATGGACTATTAGCTTTTCAGTTTCATGCAATAAAAGCACAATCTTGTGTTATATATGTCCGTAGAATTTCCAATCCCCTTTCTCTACCGTATTGGAAATCTACTGTGTATTCTCTGATGTAAGCAGCAATATTAAGCAGCTGTAAGGATGATGTTGAAACAATGATTTCATAAACGACAGAAGTGAATGTTTTTGGAAAAGTTTGTTAGAAATATAAAGAAAATTTCAGTACGCACCGTTTCCGTATAAAGTCCCAACCTGTGCACAGCTTCCCCACTCAAAGTTCTGGTTGCAGATTGCATCAACAAACATTGGGTCTGTGCTACAGAAAAGGAATCTCTCATCTACAGGCTTTCCATTGTCCCTCTTCTTCATCCTTTCTTTCTGCCTAAGGGCACAGAGATATGCAAAAAGCAGTTAGTGCACTTGAACTGAGCAGCTTAAAAAGGACTGAGAGGTCACTGTTAAGAAGTTCAGGTGTTCAAGTAGCTTCACCTCTCACCATGTTCCCAGAACACATCTTGTGCATTGGTATTTGATTAAAAAGACAGCCAAATTAAGACCCCATGAAACTAATTTGGAAAATGCAATGTGGCCACCTGGTGTTGGAAACATGCTACAACATAAACATCCTATCACAAGGTCGAATAATGTATCTTAAAAAATGCAAGTGAACCTTGTGCCCCACTTTTACCCACAGCAAAGTAACTGGCACAAGCAGAGAGCAGATTATTGAACCCGCTTATTATATGTCATAGGGTTTATTCGAAAAAAATAAAAATAGTTTAAATAACCTTTATGGTGTGTGAAATTGTAAAGTACAGTTGCGATCTATAGAGTTTATCTGTTCAGGATTGAGGCCCAAAGCTATGTTTGCTTTTTTCTGTTATTCTATTTTTTTCTATTGTTGTTGATTAACTCAATGAGCATTGCTACTTTTGTGAAATGGAACGTTTGTTTACTGCAGACATTTCAGCATCGGGGAGTCTAGAACATTTTTACAAAACAAAAGACTAAAACTATTGATAAGCACATTTGACAATGTTTACTAACCACTGGAATATTTCCCAAAGTCCAAGGTTTTGGTTCCGGTCAATTTTCTGGATTGCGCCGGTTGGCATGGTCTGCTGGAAAAGAGACTGTATTTCTTCATATTCCTTGGAGAATGTAGAGAGTGCAACTCGCTACAGGAATATAAAATAAATGCAGAACATTAGGAAATATCTACTTAGCTTAAATACTTACTACATATTGTTTTTGCTGAATAAATATTTTGATTGGTACTTGTGCTGTGTTGTATTCTAGTGCTTGCAGGGTAAGCTCCAAATCCAGGCTCTTCTCGGTTTCAATGTGTCAATATGTGAAGAGTCAGACCCAATGCGTACATACACCAGCTCATTCATGTGTGGCTGAACCATTTGAGATATATACATACACAAAATCTGAATCTCCAAGGAGCTGTCACCATGAGCCTGTGGGGTAGATTCACTTACTCTGTCCCCATTAATTCATACAGTGTTTGTGCAAAGGACAACGGCACTCAATATAATTATACTATCAGATTAGATTATGATCCATCGTGGAAGACCTGGGATATATATTATGAGTGAAGATTGAAATAAACTACCAGCACTGTATCACTGAGACTAGGATTGAGTCGGGAATGGAAAGATGGGAAGTAACACAGCAGATGAACACTTGTCTAAAAGGTAAAAGAAAGAACACAAATTTCCTTTGAGCATGTCAGGACTTCAAGGTCAAAAATAAGGCTTGAATTTCTTCACCACCTTTCTATAACTTAGCTCTTGTTTTTTAATACTACGTCCTTTGACTGTTCATAAACCTTGACGTCACGCCTCACTGAACTGTGTGTCATCTGATTTTGTAAGTGGTCAGCATGCAAACATATGAAATCAATGTATTTACAAAGTCTTGTTACCCCTTGTGTTTTTCTTGCAATGGATTTTTATTTTCTGTTGCAGATGATTCGAGTGCACCAAAATCTGATACCAGTAACTGTACCATCGACTATTGTACATGACTATTGTAGTCAATACCTGGGTCTATGAATGTCCGAGGACTAGAAAGTCAATGGATTTTAAGGAACTGTTCTAAAAAGTGGCTCCCCAAAAAATGTTAAATACTTCTACTGAATATAATAAAGTACTTCTAAATACAATTATCATCATTCGCCCACATTTCCCACTTTTAGTTGTTGGTCAGTGCACTGTAGGAAAAACAAACATTGGGGTAACATGACTTTTTAAACATGACTTTTTAAAGCTCATGGGACTCAAATTCTAATACAGTCACGAACATCGATTGTCAGTCAAATCAAAGTTCATACCTGATATCCCATGTCTGACAAAGTTGATTTGTCCCAGTTTTCAGGAATGTTTTTTGGTTCACAGGCACTGGCTTCTACTTGTGCAGACTGTGATTTGCTGCAAAAGCATGGGCTGTTAAATATTTAAATCAACTTTCATGCTCTTTATTTATATGAGATGACAATTATCCCATGCATTTGTAAGATTTATTTACTTATAATATAAAATACATCGCATCTAAGGAATAATAATGTTTCTTCACTTTGTCAGCATTCAACCCTCCCAGGTCAGGTGCAGCACAGAGATCAAGAGATCAAAAACACAGGATTTGAAACAAGATTCGCAACTGATATACACAACTTGAATCCTGTTCCAACCCCCAGTAACTCCACTTCAACGTGCCTGGAAGGAAACCATGTCCAAACAGGGCTTCGGTATTTATACAATATAATTTACATTTATGCAGTGGCTTTCACGTCGGGACCGTGTCTCAAAGGCCTTATCACAAATGATGAGAACCTGAGCCGATGGTGACATTGGGTAACTGAGAGGATAATCTCCCGCTCCCAAACACTCAGCATAATAGGCTGATACATTCACACAACAATAATCAGTTAGAAGCTGAATCACTTCAAAGTTCATGTATATTAACACTTGTCTCAGAAGCTACAAAGGTTTCCATACCCCTGGATCTTTTTTTCTACATCCTCCTCAGTGATAAATCTTGGTCTCCTCCGCACTTCATTCGATGTACCTTGTAACACATTTTTCTGGCACATTTCTAAAAGAAGGATGAAAGCAACACTTTGAAAAGTACTCAACTGACAACAAAAAGGAATTGTTCAGCCAATGCCTTTGAAGATCCTAAAGCTGAACCCCAAAATCGTAAACTTTGAAACAAGCTTCACACGTTTTCTAGTGTCATTGGATAGAAAAATAGTCTAAATGCTTCCTACTACACCACTAAGGGTAAGATTTGAGGTCTCAGATTAAGCAGCTGACCAATCACACATAATACATTACTGTATTCATACATTATGGGTGGTTATGCAACACACCTTACATCATTCCCAAGCAATTTGTGTGCCACATTAGCACTAAAAATCATGAATTATCCAGAATTTATGCTCTTACTCTTTGCATTATCAAACAGCCTCATTGAACATGTATTGACAGTGCAATGTATGAAAATGATATACACAATAAGTTATTAAAAAAATACCCAATTTTGTGCATATATTATAATGCCTTTACCATCCAACCAAAAACCTGGACCCAGTATATTACAACACAAAATAAAATTGGTTTAACAAAAGAGGGAGTGTTTACATCACAATCATAGTTCCATAATTTGGTTAATCTGTAAAACATGGTTATAGTAACCAAGGTCGCTGGAGAAAGAAGTGCTTTGGATGGAGTGAATGTACCTTTAAAGCTCAGGAAGTCGCTGAATTCTCCTATGACAATAGGCATTTCTTCATCCTTATTGGCCAAATAGACATTCTCCAGGTCTGCAGATGTTACAGGCAGAGCGTGGTCATCCTGTCAGAGAGAGAGAGAGGTACAGACTCAGAGTTTGAACTTCTCTCCATGAAACTGATCTTCAGCTCAGACTGAAAGGAATTTGCAGCTAGCAAACACCCATTGTGTGTCTTAGTCATACAACATTCCCCAAAATTGTTTTCTCTCTGCCTCTCTAGAAGCCAGCTACACATGCTACATGTGTAGCTGGGGTGCATGGAGCTCTCAGTTTAGTTTGGATACTCTTAAGCATGATGGTGGGTTTCTGCATGATTCAGACACCCAGCTGATCAAACAGAAGTACTAGTTGGGTATCCAAGCTGGGGGCAGGAGTGGAGGGGTGGGGAAAGGTGACCAAAAGCACCGTCAACAACAACAATATTACCTTTGTATAGCACCTTTTATGTCAGGAGGACATCCCAAAGCGCTGGACAATCAGTGTTTCGGACCCAAACTGGGGGTCCGGATCAGGGCAGGGGTGAAAGAAGGTTACCAAAGGCACAGTCGAAGAGGAGGGTCTTGAGATGAGTCTTGAAAGAGGCAAGGGAGGGAGCGAAGTGGAGGGACTGCAGAATGGAGTTCCAGAGGGTGGGGGCAGAGTGGCTGAAAGCCTGCCTGCCAATGGTGGGGCAAACAAGGTGGAGGGCGTAAGCCCGCTGAGCGGAGGGAGTGGGCAGGTTGGTAGCGGGTTAGGAGCTCGCAGAGGTAGGGGAGAGCAAGGTTATGGACGGTTTTGAAAGTGAGGACCAGGATCTTGAACTGTATCCTTTGTGTGATGGGAAGCCAGTGGAGTCGGGCGAGGATGGCGTTGAGAGGGCCGCGGAGTCTAGTGCAGGAGAGGACACGGACTGCAGAGTTCTGGATGATCTGCAACCTATGGAGGGAAGATCTGGGGAGGCCGACAAGCAAAGAGTTTGTGCAGTCGAGCCTGGATGTTATAAATGTGTATATGAGGGTCTCGGCAGCCTGTGAAGTGAGACAGTTGCGGAGCTGGGCAATATTGCGGAGGTGGGGGAAGGTAGAGGGGGTCATGGCACAGAAGTGGGGTAGAGGCCACTACATAAATTGTAAATGAGAATCAAACAAGAAGTCAAGGTTCCGGACTGGCTTAGTAAGGTGGAGTGTGCATCCTTGGATGTGATGTTGTTGGTGCCTGAGGTGCTGAGGCGCTGACGGGAGCCAATTAGGAGAGTCTCGGTCTTATGGAAGTTCAGCTGTAGAAAGTTAGTTCTCATCCAGGACTTGATATCTGACAGGCATTCTGCCAGCACAACAATGGCCCTGGAGTCAAGGGTGGTGGTAGAGAGATACAGTTGGGTGTCATCCGCATACATAATAATAATAATAATAATAATAATAATAATAATCCTTGCATTTGATATAGCGCTTTCCACGTCAGGAGGACGTCCCAAAGCGCTTCACAGAACACACTGTAAAGTGAATTGACTGTATATTTGTGGGCACATGCGGCAGCCAATTGCGCACAGCAATGTCCCACAAACAGTCGTAGATTGAAAATGACCAATTTATTATTGTTTTTGGTTTTGGAGGGATTATTATTAGGTGTGTGGAGTAAGGAAACTTGCCCAAGGTTTCGCCCTCTGCCTGGAATTGAACTCAGGTCTCTCACTTGCAAAGCGAGTGCTCTAACCACTGAGCTACAGGACTCCACCTGAAAGTTGATCCCATGTCTGCGGATGATGTCACCAAGAGGGAGCATATAGATATTGAAGGGAAGGGACTAAGGACAGAGCCCCAAGGAACGCCGCACAAGGCTGTGCGGGGGGCTAGAGGAGAAGCTGTTTGTGGAGAAGAAGTGAAGGTGATGTACATTCAAGGTAGATCTTGAGGTGGACCTTAAATAAGTTAAGTAAGGGAGTGAGACAAAGGGACTCTGGGATGGAGTTCCAGAGAATGGGGGCAGAAAGGCTGAAAACACAGTGCAGACAAGAGAATGAATGTACCATCAGTCTGTAGTGCCTCTTCCTCTCTGCCCCCTTGGCTCTATAATAATAACAGCACTGCACTGGAGCATCAGCCTAGCTCAAAGTCCCAATAAAAGGCTTAAATCCACAACCTTCTGCCTCAGAGATGAGAGTGCTACCCAATGCAATACAAAATTACATTTGTATAGCACCTTTCACGTCAGGATGAGGCTGACTGACACCTTCTCTTACTTTATCTATGCCACATCTCCCTCCATTCTCTCAGTCTTATCTTCTCTCTGTTCTCTAACACTTCCCCTTTCCATTTCCAGGGTAACTAGTTCTATCAAGCACAACTCCCTCTCACTAGGCTCTCAACTAAGCACCTTGAATTCCTGAAATTATCCAGAAGCGAGCGAGACCCCAGTGAGAAAAAGGAACAAAAAACTTACTTGGCATCCATACTCAGTCCAGGTGCCCAACTTTTCTTTCTTGTACCATAACCATTCTGTGGTCATGATAAAATATGGAGGTTTAGTGACCGAGGAGGCCGTGGAGAGACGTCTTACCGGGTTAGAGCCGCACATCATTGTCTCAAAGTTAATGGATGAAGGCTCAAAGCTGTAAATAATAAAAGTTGTAATTATCCTTGAAATTAAAAGATGTGATCCACGTCTTTAAAATGCTGAGAATCATAGACAATGCAAACAGGTTATTTAATGCAAAGTATATATACATATATGACAACTTATCAGGACATTTTAACTCTAAAACATAATACTTCAAAAGTCACTAGAAAGCTAAGGTCCTGGAACCTGAAAAATATACACTTGTGATAATCTGCTGTCTTTTGTTCATTTGGTCAGGAAGTACCTGATGGAATTGTCTGGGTCACAGAAAGCCATTTCAATCTGCTCCATGTTTGCGAGGTTGGTCCATGTTTTGTTGTAGATCTGCCACTTGTATGGCAAATGCCAGTGAATCCGGATGCACTTGTCTGTACAAAATAAAAACAGAAGAGAGCATTTATTTAAAATCACATTCTGAAACGCTTCATTTCTCTGTCAAAGATCAATTCTGTTATTCAATTTATGAATTAACAAGGTCAACATTTTGCTCATACTTGCACAGAAGTAATCTGATTTCATGCATAGGAAACATTGTTCTCAGACTATAATTTATAGCACTTAATTTCACTGCACTGACAGGCAGTGTTCAAAATACATTTGAATGCGTGATCCAACATACTCAAAGATCAAAGCAATTATTTTGGGCCACAAAGGGTTTTTACTTAGAGGGACCATTTCTACCAACATTTTCCTTACATTTTTGTTTAAGGGTCCACCAGTTTCTGATCTGCTTTACACTGTGGGGCACACTTGGAAGCAATATAGGTAAAAGTCAACAACAACACAGTTCAAGTAACCGCAGTTATCTCCCAAGTCATGTTTGAGGAAGGTCCATGGAGAAAATTGAAGCAAAATTTGCATTGCTGGCCGGAACGAGAAAGAGATTTGTGCAAGCAGAATGAAATACTGGCCTGGAGGGATCCTTTCAATCTCCAGCACCAAGGCAGCTCTGGGGTGAATTGCTTCATCTCAACAGCCACTTTGAGGTGCAACCACAGATAAAAGAAGCACCAGTTGTGCACATGTTGTTATGAATGAAAACAAATCAGTGTAGTAGACCACGACTGTTTATTATTTTGTTCGTATAAAAAGATTGCCATCTTTAAAATATAACAATGGAACTATCAACAATGGTTTAAACAGAAGTTTTTGCACAAACCCTTGTAGCTGCAGTTTTTTCTGAGGAAGTACAGACAGATCTCTTCTGAGTCCGCATTGCCCCTGGAGCTCGTGGATGCCTGCTGACATGCAGCGCCCTTCTCTGGGGAAAAAATACACAGCAAACTATGATTCAATGGAATTGCTACAAAAGTCCTGTTGAAAGGGCACTTGGGCCACAGAATTCACAGCTATTTGTGTTTGTGGAGGGAAAAGAACAGGAAGTGGTGTACATAGTTTCTGTTGCAATTAATGTGATAGGACCGTGGCAAGTTTTGAAAGAAAAGAAATTGCTTGGCATAGTAGATATGCAGAACAAGCAATTGAAACTTCATCAATTAATTCCTAAAAGGATTTGGATAAATATTTGAACAAGAATAGGATTTGGTGATGAAATCAACTGAGGGGTTTGAAAGATATAGTGTAGAAGTTATTCATTTATATTATAGCCAGATGGACCACCATAGCCTGCTCCAATCCTGCACCTTTTTATGTTCCTATGAGATTATAGAGATAGACATCGCTACATCTCGATTCAAGTGATGAAATACTTCATGGGGCACAATGGTTCTAATTCTCCAATGCATGGTGGGGCATTGAAGATGCCATAGCAAAATTGATTAAAGGAAATATTAACAAAGGTCAAAAAAAACTTTTGCAGATAATTTTTGGAGATCAGGTAGATTTGGGAGATTTATGTAAATATGTGAGCAAATGAGCTAGGATTGCCCCCTCCTGATTATTTTCCAATTACCCAGGTGGAAAATGCCACTTGGTGGACAGTAAAATTGAGCTCAACTGTGATAATACCTCCCACTGTTAAATAGTCAGGAAATGGTCAATTGGGCAATCTACAAGTGAGCTGCTAGTTTCTACAGAACTGTAACCCTACTGAAGTCATCGTATTTAGAGCAGAGGTGGAAAATGAGACAATCAGATACAAACATTGGAATCTCACCTTCATCACCAGTGGAGGGTGGACTTTTGATATGGTTTCCATTCTGATATATTGTCAGCAGGTTTTTGATCAGTTCTTCATCCAGACAGAGCCTCTCGAGCAGAAGCTTGGTGGTGTTGTCTGTAAAGCTATGGGAGCGAATGCAACCATCCCCAAATTTACAGCTCCCTAAGATGAAGTAGGAACAAATGTGGAGCTTATTGCAAGTCTCTTTGTGGGTACAACTGCCAAACTGACCATGATTGCTGCCTCTGTTGTAATACAGGCAAACCTGAAAAAGAGACATGAGGTCAACACTAAATAATAATAATTATGATCCTTACCTTTGATACAGTGCCTTTCACATCAGAAGGATGTCTCAAAGCGCTTTACTGTAAATTTACTGTAAATTGTTGTGAATGTGCATTTTGTGTAAAATGTAAACCCAAGCAGGAAAAAAATAAATAAAACTATCTGGGTTTCAGCAGGTTACACTTATATCACACCATTTGCATCGGATGAATGACTCAAATTGCTTCAGAACAACAATGGGGATCATTGAGTAGGTAGGAAAGGAGCAAAGCATTTGAGGGTATTGACCAAAAGCATGGTTAAAGAGACACATTTTAAAGTGGGTTTTAATGGCAGGGAGAGAGGGCATAAAGGCAAAGCAGTTAGAATCATAGAATATTACAGCACAGAAAGCTATTCGGCCCATCATGCCGGTGACGGCTCTTTGAAAGAGCTACAAACTACCAACTACTCCCCCTCTCTTGCCCCATAGCCCTGCAAACTTTTCTTTTTAAGTACCCTTTGAAAGCTACTTTCAAATCTGCTTTCACCACCCTTTCAGGCCATGCATTCCAGACCGTAATAAATAAGAAATTCTCTGGGCAAAACATTTTCTCCTTGTCTCCCCTCTGTTTCTTTTGTCTCTGGGTTGAGCAAATTCCAGAGAGAGCATGATTATTTTGTCTCAAGTGTCATTATTTAACAATGAAAGTAAATGAAACACTTTTTAAAGCTGCTGTCTCAGCATCAGACATCCCAGGTCAGATAAATAACAAGCTAGATGGAGAGTAAAGATTCCACTACACTGCCAATCCCACCACTCCAATAATAATACTTATATTTGACATAGCCTTATCACGTCATCGAATCATCTCAAAGTGCTTCACAGGATTATAATGTAAAGTGGTGTCACTGTGTGTTTTCATAAGACAATTAATCTCTGTCTAACATGTGCCATACTTGATTTTTCAGTGATAAACATGCAGAGTATAATCACAGACAGTGCAAATATTTTTATTGCACAAAATAATTCACCTTTTGAGTCCAAAGATTCTCGGATTAGTTGAGTCCAAAGTATCTTAGATTAGGCTCATCTGATATTAAACTGGTGAAATACTCAACATGTCCCAATAAATATTTGCATTCACAAACACTAACATGCTCAGTGTAACTGAAAACTCAGTGTTATTTGTTCACCTCTTTCTGCAGAATATTTGCAAGTCAAAGGATGTTTAATTTTAAACTCTTAAACTATCTAAGTATTTGAGATAAAATATACGGTTCGAAGGAGGCAAAAATATCAGTCTGGTCTAGTCACACTCTTCTATAGCTTGGGTGAAGGTAGGTAATTCAAACAATGTCAGTTCCAGAAGACCAGTTGGGATCAGCTAACTCAGCACACACAAGGGTCTGAACTTAGGACTCTCGTGGTCTGTGATTGCTTAGTTGCACATCAAGCATTGCAATTACCCACTAAGCTATTCAATTTTAATTATTTTAAGAAATACTTGTAAATCCCTTTAAAATCTTGAAAGTGAATGCAGTGAAATGCACTGGCCTTCATTAAAGTTAGTGACCTCTCTGGCAGGCTTAAGTTATCTGATAATTATTTAGTCTAATCCTAGGACATCTGTGTGGTGCTCGCCTGTACTCAACAGTAGGTTCAAATGATCTGTATTGAGTTTGGCAATGTGAACTGCAGGTGGCAGTAAGCTCCTACAGTGTTTCTAAAAAGGAAAATTAGCCAGGTTCCCAGTTGCTATCCAGTGACACACCCAACCCCCACCCACCCCATTTGGCGAGTGCACATGTATGGAAGTTGTTTAAGGAATTTGACCTGGCTTTGATGGCCTTTCCATTCCAGCATAGCTTGCCAACACTGCGTTCTGATGCGTTAAAACTTGTTAATTGATAAGAATGCTACAAATAAGCAAGCGCAGGCTAGGGAGGGACAATTTAGCCAGTATTCCTGATCCCGATCAAAATCCAGTGATGCTCTGCTGAAAGTAGTATCTATAGAAAAGTCAGGAAAGGGCCAGAACAGGATCAGCTGTGATGCCCTCCATGGTCAAATACCCCACACACACTCACTAAGCTTATGCATAAAGAGTGGATACTTGAAGGTGGCACTGGAGGGTTGCTGGGTACTCTCAGCATATAAAGGTGAAAGTAGAAATTGAGAAAAAAAAATTCAGACTTTAAATGTACTTTATACTTCCATGAACAGAGGAAATTAATCTTGAAAATCTTTTATAATTAATGTTTTTCTAGTCTTTGCTGATTGTATCAGTATGAATCCGTTTTACAAATCTCCCCATAAAACTTTAAGCAACATTTATATGTTCAGTGTGTATCCGGTGAATAATTCTAACATGTCTGCAACAATGTGTTTGGTGAACACAGTTATGTACAGTCAGTGGGAAGTGTGCCAGAGTGCTGGGACTTGCACCTCAGGAAGCAAAGCCAGGTCGTTCTGAAGCAGAAGCACGCGTAGTTCCTTCTCCGACAGCTTCTGAAGTCCGTGAGCGGACAGGATGCTCATGTTGTGAAAATCATTGATATTGTGGGAATTCTTGCAAGTTTTCCTGAAAGGGAAGAGAGAGAGATGCTCCAGGACAGGGGAATTCACAAAGAATTGTTACATCACTTCTGTACAGTTCATCATTAGAACATCATTATTAGGCCATTTCCTGTGAAGTTAGACGAAATTTTATAGCAGAGTTCTTCTATTCTGCGGATACATCATAATGGAATAAAAAAATGCCCCTTTTTGTTTCCCTAATGGTGAGCAGGGCACTGTTGAAGATTGTGAAGGTTATCAATAAAGATTAAAGGTAGGTATACTGCTCTAAACCTGCTAATCCATCTTTAAAATACTAATAATTGTTTTGCAGGTCTCTGTGTTTTATTGTTTCAGATTCCAATATAGCCTCAGCATCAACTGCCATTGATGTCCAGGACACATGGAAATTCAAAGCTCATCGCAGCTCTCCTTAAGCATACAGTAGCTCACAACAATAGATGTGTGGCCTGAGGAATGGATGAATCACTGAGTGAGTACTGGAATACTGGTGAAGTGGAGGCCACCCTATGGGCAGTTAATGGATGTTTCAAATAACTGGGGTGTGGAATATCAGTTATGAAAGTAAAAACATTTTTAGTGCTGCAAGTTAAAGTTCCACAGCATTCCCAAAGTTAATTCTGCATTCAAACACAATTTCACTGCCTGGCGCATCAGAAACTCACCTATACCCCACACTAAATGCATTGAGAAATTATTTGGCTCTATCCTGCCCTCAACCAATACTGCACCTCTGTTTGGTTAGAACCACATTAACTATTCAACAATTACCAGATTGTTCTCCCTATCTACATAACACACATTGCTGACACAATTTTCTGACTATAAACGTTAACCCTAACCCTCTTCCCTTGGATTACTAAATGCTGACAAGATGGAAGCCATACTAATTGGCTCCTGTCGTCTTCTATCCTGCGGCTCTGACGTCCTTAGCCTCCCCAACCTATCCCTCAAAATTACCGAACAGGTATGCAACTTAGGCATCAGGTTTGACTGATAGCTATCATCCCACATCCGGGCCCTAACTAAGACCGCCTTCCTCTACCTCTACATTTCCTGCCTCTAACTGTACGCATATCCCAGATGCAGCCATGCGTTCGTCATCTCCTGACTCGACTTTTCAAATGCCCTCTTTGCCAGTCTCCCCAGCTCCACCATGCACAGGTTTCAGCTGATCCAAAACTTTGCCGTCCACATATTCACCTGTACTAAACTCTGTACCCGTCACACCAGTTCTAGCCAAGCCCCACTGTTCCCGATCACCGAATGGATTGATTTGAAGTTCCTCACACTCGCTTTCAAATCCCTTCATGCCCTGGCAGTTCCCTACCTCTCCGGCCTGCTTACCCCCGAACCCACAACCCGCTGCATCGCTCGACTGGTTCCGGCCTTCTGCATGTCCCTTGTGCCCTCCGTTCCACCATTGGCGGCTGCGCTTTCAGCCACTAAGGCCCGAAACTCTGGAACACTCTTCCTCTATTCCCTCCACCTTGCCCCGTCCTTCCCCGTCTTCAGGTCATACCTGAACACCTTTCTCCTCGACCGTGCCTACAGTCACCTAACCCCCCCACCCAACTCGTGCTCCGACACTGTCAAGCACTCTGGGACACCACCCTCCATGAGGGGCACTATATAAATGCAAGCTGTTGTATAAGTAACCTTTATCAACAACAACAGGGGCCTCCATAAGCATTTACATACCTTCCTTTGGAGTATTTGCACATGCCAAGAATAAAGAATCTGCAGAGATGAAGGTGCTGACAGTTCTGATAGTTCTGACAGCTCTTGTTGGTGTAGCCCTTGCATAGCTTGATCGATGTGGTAGCAATGATGCAACTGTCCAAGGTCAGATTAGACCCTGATGGCTTGCTTCCTGTTCCTTGAACTACAGTGAAGAACTGTGTGTTACTTAACATCTGATTTAGAACCACATCAGTGAGGGATAAATCATGTTGGAGTTCTCTCTGGAGCTTTTCATATTGCAAAGATCCATAGTGAGAGCAAAGAATCTTGATGCTCCTCTGAGTGATCTTTGATGCAGTCATATCTGGCTGGGAAACTCAGTGTTAATCCCATACAACTACCTCTTCCTTATAATATATCTCAGGAAAGGAAACTGAAACAAACTTTTCTGTATTGGATGACAGACAAGGAGGTGTGACTTATCTGGTTGCTAGGAGCAACAGGCATGTATACACAAGACAGGCTGAATCAAGTGTGTTTTCTTTTCATTTGCCTCCTTTAAAGTTGGGATGCCATTCGCCAGTTCTTTTATCTAAGTGGCAACACCAACTTGCATTTACATGGCTCCCTTCATGTGGGGTAGCATCTTGGGAGTGTTCAACAATGGTGTAGTCTTACACCAAGCTGGGGAGAAAGGGGGTGACCATAAGCATGGTCAAAGAGTAGTCTTCAAGTGCGATCTGTATTAATTTTTTAATTAATTAATCCTTGCATTTGATATAGCGCTTTTCATGTCTTCTCGACGTCTCAAAGCGCTTCGCAGAATATGTTCCAAAGCGAATTGACTGTATATTTGTGGGTGAAACGCAGCAGCCAATTGCGCACAGCGGTGTCCCACAAACAGTCGTGGATTGAAAATAACCAATTCATTATTGTTTTTTTGTTTTGGCGGTATTATTATTAGGCGTGTGGAGTAAGGAAACTTGCCCAAGGTTTCGCCCTGCCGGGAATTGAACCCAGGTGTCTCGCTTGCAGGCGAGTGCTCTAACCACTGAGCTACAGGACTTAATGCACAGTAAGCTCAAGAAATATAAAAAGCCTAGCTCAAAAGAAATGATAAAACACAAGGTGGGCTGCAGATAAATTTTAATTGGAAAATATATTAGGCACATCTATTCAGATTTACAGAGTACAAAATTATCCACAGAAAACAGGCAGAGAAAATTTACACCCTTCATATATACTTTTATTCTTTAAAATGAAGGCCTTGTATCCCTTTGGTAGTTGGAAATGGCTAGTTTTATCTAATTAAATATCCAAACATTTCTCTCTCTCCACCATATTCTCTTAACCCCTTCATAGGCATCAATTTACACAAAAGCTTTGTACGGGTGCCTCATATGACACTTCTTTGAAATATTCTTCATTGTGCATTCAATAGAATTTTTTTGGGGGGGTTCCAGAATAACATGAAAAAAGAACTTTTAAGTGTAGTCTTCAAAACATTCAATCTTTCAAACCAGTAAATAAACATAGAACAAAATGTGGTCCTGCTAAAAGCCTCCTTTTCTGACATACCATGGTGCGCTAGTGATCAAGGAACAGTATGCCTTCCCCCTTATTGACAGCCATACCATCTTAAAACAAACATGATGAAATATTACATAACACTGGTGTGACTCATTGGGCAGAGAACACCTTAGGAATTGGAACTAGTCCCAATATGTGATCAATAAAGGCTTATTCGTGAGAAACTAGAAATGTCTGGACTATGGAATGGAATAGACTCTCAAGGGTTAGGTAGGGATAAAGAAACAAGGTCATTCAGTACATCTTGTTATTGAATGTGTGCCTCTAAACACCCACTATTGCACTTAATTTCTTCTAAAGAATGCCCACTGATATTGTTAGAGAACAATTTTAATTTAACTTCTACCTAAACAGTTAGTAATTCCACAGGGTGAAATTACATGATGGTAATCTCATGGCATTCTCGCAACTAGAATTCTGAAATTCAGCATTTCGTCTCGCTAATTCACTTCCTTCAGCCTTGGACTTCTACCTGGACAAATCTTTCAACGTATCCTGTATGTTTGGCTGTCAGAAGTCAGCAATGACTCATCTAATCATTCATCCGTTGTGTACCATCTCAAAGATTATACATATTACTGCAAACAGCAAATTTAAAGAATAAAAGCAGTAACTCCTTGGAATTGTAGGAGTTACAGATCCTATCAGCTTCAGACAACTGTCAACAGGGGCTTTTACGCTTAGGAGATGCAAGTAGTGAAGTTGTAACGGTAATAAAACTGAGAGTGGCCTAGCTCTCAGCCCTGCTCGAATAGTTTGGGGGGCATTATAGGCTTTTTTGCTGGTTGATGTCAAGAAAACCAGCTCAAATGCATCAGTTAGAATGTTGTCATGGCTTTTTTGTTCTGTTTACTGACAACCAACTTTGGAAGAGGAATTTTGAAGCAAAACTGAGCTCTAGGAACTATATAAAAATAAATTCCATCTTGAAGTTTTCCACATATAAGAATGATGAGTTTAGCATCTCATGATTTGGGTTTAAATTAACATGCTCGGTTGTGTTTAAAGTTGCAAGGCAATTTCAGAACTGATGGAATATTATGATTGACTGTAACTGGTCCCATGCACTGATACTACACTTGGATAACCATGCGCTGTAATATGAAGCAAAGAATTAAAAAGAATGAATCATATGGAAACATTTCCTATAACGTTTTACATCCATCTACAAACCAACCAACCAACAGCAACCACCCATTCTACATACAGAAACAAATAAAATGTTTGCTTGTGGGATGCAACTTTTTAAGAAAACAAAGTTTACAACAGCAGTGTTGGTTTGGGACCCATATGCAACAACACCTAGTCCAGTATCGGCTTGTGTAGGTGCCCTATACAGAGATACACTGTGATTTTGAAATACAAGTGCTAAGGCACCCGCTTTACAATTCACATCTATATTATATGGTTGTACTGTTATTCACTCATACCCTTACTATTGTGGGTGGGAAAAGGTAGTAACTGCATTGAGCAATAGTCAACAGCTTCCTGTCTGAATGTTCTGCCAATGGCAATAGTCAAAGATCATAACCAATTTCATGAGGATTTTATAAATGTCATTTGAAAGCACGGCTCTGAGTCTGTAGGATGCAAGATTGGCCATAGGTATCACACAATGGATTAATCTTGCTGCAGTGGTTATTCATTCTATTAATGATACAGATTCACACACACAAAACTATGTACCAGCTGAACACCTTGCAACTGCCTGTGGCAACAAAACAAAAACACATGAATTGCCCAGCTTGTGATAGAAACATTGCACAATTACCAAAAATATACCTGTTGCCAACCCAACATTAAGCAACCGTCTCCTGTGTCACAAACAGAAATATATCAAGTGGAATATGCACACAACAGACCAGGTTGTAATGAAATGGACCTTTTAAATCCCTTCAATGCTCCTCTTTTTTAAGAACTTTATGTAAAGGCATGTACCACTGTCACACAACACACAAAGAACAGATTTCATTTTTTAAGCACATTGGATGTTAAATTAGAACATCTCAAGAATAATCGACTTTCTCAAAAAAAAGACACTTTTGTACAAAAGTCTTCGAATGTTTACATGAGCAACTGAATTAGGCAGGGTCTTTGAAGCCCCTGCATTGATACATTAAAAAGGCTTATTAACTTATACAGAAATTAAAAAAGGCAGTGACTGAATAATGAAGTTTGCACATTTACTACATAGCGTTACCTAAAATCGCAGTTTACATTTCCCAGCACAATGTAAATGGAAAATACTGGAGATGCATGGCAAGTCAATCTGAAACTCAGAGTACTTAGAAACATAGAAATGTAAACGGTCCTTTTGGCTGGTCCTAAAATGCACTTTTGAAGTTAAAGATTAATGTTTCATGGTCCTTCCTCAGAATCTTAATATACGTATAACATGAAAGGCAGACATTAAGATGTTGATAACCTGCATGTTACACACTGAAGTACTGATCACTTTGGGACAGGTAGGATTTCAGCAGGGGCAAACCAGCGGGACCCTGCTTCAAAAACATGGATTTGCTGAAAAAGGTAAGAATTATCTTTCATTTCTTTCCCTCCTCCTCCCAATGCACATGAATTCGTCACATAGTAAACATTCTAAAGGAAGGATTGGAGTGATCTTTGTGTACAGATATTTCACGTCCATTCAAACCAGGATTTGGGGTCATCCACCAACATTTAATAAATATAGAACATGAGAAGGCCATCCAACCCATTACTTCCATTCTCTTCACAGGTAATATACAATCCTTCATATCAAGAACTCTATCTAGCACAATCTATTTCCTGAGGGTGACAAGCAACCACTGACAACCTTCTTAAGAAGATAAAAGCTCTGATATTCCTTCCAACTCTCAAAGGTAATCGAGCAACATTGTAGATTAATTCTGAACAAAATTCATACTTGTATCTGTGACCTGTTTCATTGAGCAGATGCCTCGCCATCATCCGAAAAACACAAGAACCAGCTGGTACTAACTTGTATTTGACTATTTGTGTCAAATCCTGTCTGTACAAGCTTCAAATATTCTCCTAATAATAATACTTAACCAGCTCCTTTTGAAGTTAAGACATGATTACTCACTGCTCAATTGCACAAAGCATTTCACAATAATTTAATCAAATGCAGTGAATGGTTTTGTAGGCAAACACAGCAGCCATTTAAGCCAGCAAGTTCCCACAAACAGCCACAGGTGCCCCAAATTGTACACAATATTTAATGTGCCATTCCAATAAGATAGACAAGGTGACAAGATCATTTTTCAACTGATAATCAAAGATATGTGAGTAGCTTTATTCTATTCTTCCAGTCGATAATTGCAAATTGCACTCCTCATCCACTTTTGCAAATGCACATCTATTCATTGTGTTCATAGGTTTTCCACTTCAATATGTGTTACTTTATATTAAATTATATTAAAGTCCATCTGCCACCCCTCAGCCGATCCAATTAATGTATTCAGACTACATTAAAGGCCATCAATATCCTTTACACCACTCAGCTGGACATAAAGCTTGACATCAACAGAATTTTTACAAGAATTCTCTCTTCTATTTCATCTGTGAACAGTCAAAACAAATAACCTCTTCCAGTAGACTGCAAAATATCACTAATCGCTAACATCAACTATTTCCCTTTACCACCATCATCCATTTCCTGTTGTTCACCACGTTTCCAATCCAGCCAGCTGAATTGTAATCAGTTTCACAACATCTTTTGAAATTTGAAAAAATTGTATCTGCTGAATGGCTTGTAAATCCATGTCAACTCCACTTCATCCTCTCTGATGAACAGTAATAACATGTGGTAAAAATATTCACAAGACAGCAGTGCACTATTGCTGTATAATTCCCAGGTCCCAGTGCTACCCCTTTTGAAAGATCGTTGCCCTCAAATTCTCAAGTCATACACTTGTATAAATGAAGTTCCTAAAACTATTTAATCAAGATCCACCCATTTGTTTGCAGTTTGTAAGGTGCAGGTAACTTCTACACATCTAACTCCTTAGCTTCTTTTAAATGCTTTACTTATTCCAGTGACTAGAAGATTAACATTCAAGAGCCTCAACTTTCACAAGACTTTTTATCCAACATATGTACACCATTGAATCCCTGTCAAAGTAACCGTTAACACTAAAGTGGCAACACTGTGGAGAACAAGGTCGCAACACCTATTTCCTTGCTGATCACACATTGCACCATACCAACGTCCCAGCAGTAAGGCAGACTCATTTATACATTTTTTAAAATGTAAAAAAAGGCTTAAGGTACTTTCTACATCCATGGTACAGTATTGGCAGAAAACATATCAATATACAGTGGATACAAACATTCAAGTAATGAAAATCACATTATGTGTGTTAGACAATGATTATTTGGACTATTCTTCCTGTTGGATTATATATTGTATCCATTGGATGGTCAATATTCATTTTTTTGTTGTGTTTTGCAATTGACACACCAACTCTTCTCATACTTGGTGTGGTTATCTGCATTCTTTGAATAAATTCAATTTTCCTGATACAACTGAATACTCTTACCATCAGAGGAAAATCACTTGAGCTGCTATCCTTCAAGAGTTGGTGCTAACCAAAATCTTTTTAAAGGATTCTTCTCCACTTTTCCTATATGTAAGGTCCTCGCTCTAAAACACATCACAGTATTGACATGAACAGGAAGCAAGAAAACTAGATATGTAGTTCAACCTATATGAGGTGAGAATGCACAGGACCATTTATATGTGAAGTTAGAAATATATTTCAATTATGAGCAAGCCCATGCCTGCAGTAAGTAATACAACACGTTTCCTCATTCAGTCACATAAATTGTTTCCAACAAGTGCAAATACTGACGAGAAACAACTCTTATTTTCATTCTGAAACAATGAAAACTTGAAACTGCAAATCTGCACTGAAGAAAGATTTTGGAGAATTTAAAACAAGAGCAAAACAATTCAATTGTACAGTCCAGAGAAGACACCATTAAAGGTGCAGGGCAAAGAAGACACTCTGCCCCAGTATTACCAGCACATTAAAAGAACAGGGCCTCGAGTGCTTTTGATGGCAGAGTGTTCACTTGAATGTCAAGGCTCAGTGAAACAGGAAGAATGTCTTATTGGTCACATCTTATTGCAGCGATTTTGAGCAAACTCATTGCAAGTTAGCAAAGTGAATGGGCAACTAATAATGCTATCAGACCACAACATACAACACTAGGTCAGGGGCTCATACAATCACTAGCCCAACACTGACTGAAAAACTAAATTCACCAATTTCAGCTAAAGGAATGGAACACCAGAGATGCACTGACCTGTGTAGTATGGAATGTGTGTATGTGTGCGCGTATGGGTGGGTGTAGCGTGCATGTACTAATTCACAGTTGCCAGTGATACAACATATGTTGTATGTTGTAGCATGGCAAAAATCACAATAATCTTTCATCAGCAATACTTAAAACCAAGAAGACTCTTGTTATCAATTTGTTTTTAAAAATCCATTACATTATTATTTCTTCAGTGAAACTGTCCTGATTTCTTCCTTAGGGTTAATTCTCCAAAATGTTTAGTTTATACAAACAACTGCAACCCCTTTGCCTAAGGGGCTGAAAAACAAGTGACTTGCGAAATGAACCAGACACAACTCAAAGAGCTCATGACCCAGCAGCTAAGCAGGATGGCATGCGCCGTCTTCTAGTTTTTAAATTCTGTAAATCCATCCCTTCGTCCTCCCCTCTCTTTATCCAGTTCCTATCACTCTTCTTGGTGTCCTTGGTTTATGGGCAGCAGGGATTGTCAATGACCAGCATCACATCAATCCCGTAAACCTCAAGCAGGTCCATCAGGAAAAGGCGATCCCCCTGGGGATCCAGCCCCATGCCCCTGACATGGTCAGCTGTCAGCGTTTTATCCTGGCAAGCTGAAACTTCCAATAACATCTGGAAGATGCGGTTGTTCTGTTCCATGAAAAACCTGTGAGAAAAAGAAAGCATGGTACATCTTCCAGGTCACAGTTGTTTGGTGTTGTAACTGGGTTCCTACAAAATGTACAATCATTACACTTTACAATAAATCTGTAAGTGACTCCTCCTGACTTGGAAAGCATGATATCAAATGCAAGGATAATTATTTACAATTATGTACAATAGGTGAAATCACAATCTTGTAATAAACTAAATGCTGTTATTATTCCTCCAGTCTGCCAAATAGGCTAAACTGCTGAGGAGTCAAAAACTGCTTTGACTGCACTATCCTCATAAAGAGAGGAAGGAGCTGAACATCTGTTACAATGATCCCTAAAGGTAATCTTCAGCTCTTTAAGACTGGGTTGACAACAAGCACTACATTTTCTTCATCTCAGCCCTCTCTTCCCAGACATGACTGTTCTTACCTCACCTTGTACATTGCATTGAAACGGCCAGTGGAGCTCAAACACAAAACAAATCCAGAATCTTGATCCAAAGATAATATTCCCACTTGTTTCCTCCATTTTCCACTCTTCGATTCTATTAACCACTTGCGTGTTTCACTTTATTCATATAAAAATGTGATTTATTTTCAAACTGATTTACAAGTGTCAGTGGTCTGTCACTGGTCTGACAGGTGTCAGACTGGTTCTTTTAGCTTGGATTTATTTCCCATCTGGATTCTGCAGCATCGCCCATTTTACTAGGGTGCTGAGATCTCTCCAACACTCCCATAACCATGGTACACACACTTACATAATGAACAGGTCCTCTTCATTGGAGCTGCAGTCTCCACCCACCTCCTGAGAGTACAGCAGCATTTGCCTGTGGGATAGATTCAGAAACGTACATTATGTTTGCCAGCACAGAGTCTCTGTAAATATGTACAACAGGAATTCAGTCTCCAAGAAGTCACAGAAACAAGAGTGTTTGCGATTCCACTATAAAAGAACTGCGAGGTGCGACTCTGAACGTTACTGACCATATATATGCTTGAATATACTCGCAGTAGTGATAGTAAAGGATAGAGCACTAAGAGTGCTTAAAACATTGATGGGAAGGAGAAAAACATCCAGGTTTTCTCTTAGAAATGCAAAGTTTACAAGTGAATAGATTCTAACAAATTTGCTAATGAACTGGCCTCAGGCAACAAGAATAACTTGGATCTAAATAAACAGAACCAAACTACCAACAATAAGCTTCACTACAATCCGCTACTCCTGTAAAGCTCAGTATGCTCTGCTGCTCCTCTCACCTCTGCTCATTGAGCTTACGATACTTGTCCTTGTCGGCACTGTTTATCTTCAGTAGTTGCTGCAAGTGCTCGCGATGCGTTTTCACGTTCTGGTTATCTATATAAACATCATACAGGTCTTTCTTTTCTTCAAATATCTTTTCTGTTGTGCCTGAAAACAGGAGAGAAGGGTCCACAGTGAAAAACCTTTTTAGAGTTTAATATGCTCATTAAAAAGCTGACTTGGAGAGCACAACTATTAACAAGTGAGTTCATATTCTGACACTACAATGTTGTTATACACATTTGTTCTAAATCTACTCCAATGTCACCCATTAATGCAAATAACATTTCTGCTCAACTTTTTTAAAATTTTTAGTAACTACTGTAAGAACTCAGTTACCTAACACACTTTGAGACCGGTAAGAGTGCAAGGAAGGATAACATTGAAGGTTATGACAACAACAAATTACATTTATATAGCGTTTTCATTGGGGATTGGGAACCAGTGGAGCCGGGCGAGGTGGGCGTGAAAGGGTCACAAAGCCTGGTGCGGGTGAGGACACGAGTTGCAGAGTTCTGGATAATCTGCGGCTTGTGGAGGGAAGAGTTGGGAAGTCTGACAAGCAGGGAGTTGGTGCAGTTGAGCCTAAATGTAATAAATGCGCGTGGATGAGGGTTTCAGATAACACTCAAATGCCAGTAGTTAAGACACAAAATGACGTGGCAAAGTATGTGTGACACAATAATAATAATAATAATCCTTGCATTTGATATAGCGCTTTTCACGTCGGGAGGACGTCCCAAAGCGCTTCACAGAACACACTGTAAAGTGAATTGACTGTATATTTGTGGGCGAACGCGGCAGCCAATTGCGCACAGCAATGTCCCACAAACAGTCGTAGATTGAAAATGACCAATTTATTATTGTTTTGGGTTTTGGAGGGATTATTATTAGGCTCTGTGTGGAGTAAGGAAACTTGCCCAAGGTTTCGCCCTCTGCCTGGAATTGAACTCAGGTCTCTCGCTTGCAAAGCGAGTGCTCTAACCACTGAGCTACAGGTCTCCACAAATATCCACAAATAAATATCCAAAGAAGAATACAGTATTCTATAAACAAAGACTGAAACAAAGCAAGGTATTGTACACTGTTAGAAATGTTCATGTTAAAAAAAAGTCCTCTTGAGATGATTAAAAAAAATCAATGGTGGTGACATTTTTAGTTACTTAAATCCAGATGTTCAGAGTAAACTGATATCATAACCCCATTGTGCTGCTGGGAAAGACTACTTGAGTGACAAAATAATGAACAATTCAAAAACAGCGAAATATAATTGGACTCAACAAGCCTGTCCCATCTTGATAGTTTTTAATCTCAATACCTGTCTTCCCAATGCATCATTCGATCCTTTCTTTCTCCAAAAACACAACCGGTTCCTTTTTGAACCCATTTATATTGTTCACTTCAGTCTTTGATAACTTGTTCTATAAGTCTGTTATCCTTTGTGTAAAAAAAGTTCCACCTGACTTCCTGCCTATAATTTTTAACTAGTGTTCCTAGTATTTGGACCGTCTGTCATACAGAAAAATCTGCTTGCATGAACTCTATCAAGCCCCCTTCAGAAACCTTCAACTTTCAATTAAATTCTGAATAAAATTAAATTATACTTTCAATGTAAAGGAACCCTCTCCCATTAAAATCAACATCACTTGATGGTTGGGTACCTGTGTAAACTCCATACCGAAAATTTGCAACAGAAATAACAGAATATGCGGTTCGTGTTGCTTCTGCACTGCTCAATAGGCTAGAATAATTTTTCTGCCAAATCTTCAGTCTTTAGAAAGGAAGTTATTGTACATACAAATACTGAGTTTATTACGAGAATTTCTCAAAGACTTACAGGCCACGTAGGCTACCTCTGTCTCCAGGGTTTCTATATCTGCTACACTGATGTAAAAATAAGGCTTGGATTCAGGGACTCCTCCAATCCCAGGCAGTGAAACATTAGCAAGGCAGCAGCAGCAGTAAACTAGAATGGGGAAGAAACAAATACAAACATCAGTATCCTACATCCTAACTGACTACTATTACTGGTATAGCCGATCAGTCTCATCTCAATGAAGCATGTAGACAAAATCGCAGTGTTAGTAACAGTAGTTGTGTATTCCTAACAGGAGCTGCTATCTGCGCTTAGCGAACACTGACCTGCTTTATGTCCATCACCCGAACTGCCCCACCATCAATGCATCAGCTTTCAGCCATTCTGACCCTGCTCACTGGAACTCCATCCCGGAGACCCTCCTCCTCACAAGGATTATCATTTTTATAATACAGCATTCATAACAGAAATTGCAGATCCTAACAATAAACTGATGTGTGTTATACCACTCGGGAAGTAGATAGCATGGTAGAGGAGTTCCCGCCTTTTGGCACATTACGTTGATTGCTGGTAGGAGTAGCTATTTGCGGTTCCTTGAACTAATTCTGCATTTTTTTAACCTCCCTGACAGTTCTATTAAAAATAAAAGCAATTTTCTCCATCCATTCTTAATCCTATGATCGTGGTTTGAATATCAGTGCAAGACAATGTTCAAACACACCTCACACCCATTTCTGCCAGGTTGTAGACATCTAAGAATCTCATATTAAAGCAGCACCTCAGAGTGAACAAAAGATAGCTACTGTTGAAGAGGAGTGTATGGCCCATTTTACCCCTTACACAATTTAGCCAGCTGGAAAAAACAATCCCTTTGAAACTATTCTGAGCTTCTTTATGTGCACATACCTCTATAACAGACGACTCCAACTGGTGGAGGTGAGAAAATCAAAATTCGCTTCCTTAACAGTGCAAATTTCCAAAGTACCATTATCTGTTCTCCGAAAAACTTAATGAACTGTGACATGCATCCTGCAGGATGGGTGATCTGTTGAAGAGATGTTTCAAAAAGATTTCAACAAACTTGTGCACCTTTCTGGAGCTACGTTTTTCTGACAACAAATTCTCAAAAAAACAATTATGAGCATCAAAGAATGATGTACCAGTCACACCAATTTTTTCTCATTGCCATTAAAGTTGGGGTGTAACCATAACTCTCTTCTCCACCATGTACAGTATAAAAGAATATGTGCAGGTTCCTCTAACTCTGTGACCTCCTAAAACCTATCTACCAGTTGCTTCCTTCATTCTGCAAACACTGCTTCAGGTTCCCCATTCTATATACCCTCCCATAGGCAGGCAAGCTTTCAACCCGCTCTCTGGAACTCCATCCAAGAGTACCTTTGACTCCCACCCTCCTGCTCCACTTTCAAAGTCAGCCGCAAGACTTAAACTCTCTGACTGCGCTTTCAGTCAACTTTCCACTCCCTACCCTCTTCAGCTCCCATCCCACTCTGGCTCAGGTTCCCAGCCAGCATTGTAAAGTGCTCTGAGACACCCTCCCAATTTGAAAGGCACTGCATATATGCATAGTGCATTGTATGATAGTCTATTTGAATCCAGTATCCGGCATGCCTATTTACCTTCATCTCTGCAAACATGCACTTGTTAATGGATGGAAGCCAATGAAGGGGTTGATGGGATGTAGGTGCTCCTTTGCTGTGCATTCCAACAGGTAAAACCCCTTTCTTATCTTCGTAAAAGGCTTCTAACTGAGCGTAATGGCCAGGGATTTCCAGCTGGTGTCTGCAGAAAAACACACATCACAATCTGTGAGTGACCCGAAGGTGAGAAGGCATTTTGGGGACAGTGGGGACAGGAGAAGAGGGTGTGAGAGGTTAAATTATTAAAATGTTGAAACAGACAAAGGATCAATATTACATATGACTTATTTGATACAACTAAAACTAAACCAATTTGCACAATGATAATTTATTAGGCATATGTGCACAATCTTAACAGATAAAGACTTCTACATCGTTTGTAGCCATTTTACTGCTGACAGGATCGAACACTGCAGAATGAATCACAGTGTGGTCTGGTGGGTTAGACTAGGGGGTCCTTTCAGCTGCAGACCCTGAGCTCCTGACCTCTGGAACACCAAACTACTTTGCCTTCCTATCATGAAAGGCATGTTTAATGTTTAGTCGGCAGCAAAGTAAACCCCCCTGAACTTGTTAATTAAAATAATGTTTTTTGTTGGTACTCTATTGTTACATAGACATTTACAATGAAATAGCTCAGCCCACATCAAGGACCATTAGCACAAGAGCTCTTACCTGACCTGATTCTCCAGAAAATGCATGTATCTATACAGAAGGGTATACGATGGTGACAGAATGCCAACAGATTTCATTCGAGCTCCTCGCTCCAGCTCACTCTCCACTGGCATGTTGGCAAAACACGCCATGCCAAAGTAGTTACCTTTACGAAAGTAACTGAAAGCACAGACAACACACCAACATGAATGTAAATATGGATGATCCATAAACTATGCCAGTAGTTAGCCCAGAAATGTTATCCTTAGGTTAGAAGTGTTGAAACAGACACCATAAAACAATCACCAGCACACATTTGAAAAAAAAACCATAAGAATGGGAATAAACCTTCCCAATCTCAGGGCTGATTTGGGGAAGTTTTTAGAGAGGATTCTACCCAACACCCTGAAGCCAAACCTGGAACTAATGCACACAATTGAGGTACTAAAGCCTAGGCACACTCCCAGACACCGACAGAAAATGTAGCTGCCTTGAAAATAAGTCAACGGATCAGGAAATGAAAATTTCACAAGAAGGTTTATTCTGATAGCACACACAAGAGTTATTTGCTACATCATGAGATGAGCCTGTAAGGAGAATTATTTTCTATCTCCACAGCCATCAGCAGTAAGTAATAGAATATTGAGACAGTGATCAATAATTTAAAACATCAACAGCAAAAAAAGCCCCATGACAACATCACTGTGCCTGAGTTTCCCTGATTCACACAACAGTGAAAGCTAGAAAGGACTTGCTAATACTCCTTTTGCATCACCCAACCTAGAAAGGCGGTATGAAAGAGAAAATGCACCACATTTCATAGCTCCCAGACTTTCACTTTGCTTGTTTTATTCTAATTCTCAAAGAGGAATGTCAGTGATCAGCTATTCACCTTCAGCATTTCTTTTGGAACTTGCTCTGATGCAGACAGCTGATCTGACTGTGAGTCGAGTCTTGCCAGATTCGGAGTGGTAAAAAAACACCTGCTGCACGTTACTAGTTGCCCATGAAGAAAAACAGTAATGTGAACTGGGTATAACATATATATAAGCAGGGTTATGGTTTGTTAGTAGAAATAGGGGTAGTGAGAATTATCTGTAAAGGCCTGTGTACAAGTCAATATTTACTGTTGAATTGTACAGATGTAAAGTTTCAGTTATGTTTACAGAAATACAAATCATGTGAATGTTTGACTTGCATGTGTTATAGTTAGTTCATGTCAGACCATAGGCATTCCCTCAGACTGAATTTAGACCTGTAAGGAAAACAATACTTACACAAAATCTGAATTTATTCTGTGAGACCCACTGGCCATGGATTTAAACTCCACTCCTCCCAAATCCACTTCTTGAGGCAAACACCATTCAACAATGTTACCTGGTGAGAAACAGGTCTGGTCAGTGGTATTAAAGGTTTATAGCAGACATTTAAATACATAGCAAGCTGGGGAGGTCCACCGACTGGTGATTCCACCTACTTAGCCTGGCCCGGTAAGGAGCACTCTTGCCACAAAGTCAGAAGATTGTGGATTCAAACGCCATGTTGGAACTTGGAACTCATAGTCTAGGCTGATAATTCAATGCCTGCATTGTCGGAGGTGAATCCTTCAGATGAAATGTTAAACCAAACTTTATACATATTCAAAAAGAGAAGGGAGTTTCTCCCTGTGTCCTGGACTGCAATCTCCCAGATAAAATCAGTCAGTCCATTCATGACTGCTTGTGAGACACTGATGTGTGTGAATCGGCTGTCACATTAGCCTACAAATACAAAGTCACTTGATTTTACATTTTACTGTGAAGTACTTTGAGACATTTCAACATGATCATATTAAATGAAAGGATTATTATTGTTATCATTAATTATTAGTTTAAATCACTTCTAAGAGATATTTCTAAATTTTTTCGGCCAGACCAATAACATTGCCATTTACATATAAATGGATGTTACTTTCTTAATATATTTGAGCTTCCTAAATAGGTACCTTTTGCAGGAGGTTGATATTTTGTTCACTAGGTATTTTGTCAAGCCATTTCTGTCTATATGTATTTGTGAATCTCAGATAATTGTGATGTTGTTTCTCGACGTCACTTTTTGCCGGTTGATGTTTATACCAGTTGGTCTTTACATCAATATCAAAGTGTCTAAGTGGCGCTCTGAGATGATACCCTGCGTGGAGTGCAAGTTATTGTTGTTGTTTAGAATTTGTCCAGTTAATATATTTAGCTAAGTTATTATGTCCAATCAGAAACTCTTTTTGTACTGAGCTGGCCATGACGATAATATGTGGTCCATTGTTTCTGGTGCTTGATGACATATTCTAATATTGAGGATGCCTCTATTCTGAATGCCTCCTCATCCTAGGCTATTTCAATCTCCACTTCACCCCTCTTGCTCTATCTACGCTGAGTTCTCCCTCCTCTCCTCTCACAGTCTCTCCCTCCACATCCACTCTGCTAGCCACGTCCCTGGCCACCCACTTGATCTGGTGATTATTCAGGGCCTCAGCCTTTTGGACATTCAGTGTCTTGGGACTTCCTCCCAAAGTGAGGTGGCGCGATACAAATGTTGTTGTTATACACAAGTGAACAACACAGTGAATCCATATTTTGTGATTTGTAGAACAAAGGATACAAAACAGTTCCACTGTGACTGTGTTGAATATGTTGCTTCGTATTTTCTCACTAATATTTTTGTTATATAATATATAATAATAATCCTTGCATTTGATATAGCGCCTTATCATGTCTTCTAGATGTCTCAAAGCACTGCACAGAATATACTGTGAATTGACTGTATATTTTGTGGGTGAAATGCTGCAGCCAATTGTGCACAGCAGTATCCCACAAACACTGGATTGAAGTGATCAATTTATTATTTTTTTTAAGGAATTATTATCCCCGGAAAAGTGATCCACCAATCAACTAACAACCAGGTTCCTACTTACTGCTAAGTAAACAGAGGTGTGTGGAGTAAGGAAACTTGTTCAACATTTCGACTTACCGAGAATTGAACCCAGGTCTCTCGCTTGCGAGGCAGGTGGAGATAGATAAATATTTGTTAGGTCAGGGTATTAAGGGACATGGAGCTGTAACTGGACATGAGGTATAGATCAGCTATGATCTTATAAAATGGTGGAACAGGCTTGAGGGGCTAAATAGCCTACTCATGTTTCTATGTCTATGAATCTCTGAGTGCTCTAACTGCAAAGCTACAGGACTCCACAGTCCAATTTAGTCCAATCTTTGGCCTTGTTATGAACCCTCACAAATGAAGCATATAAAACATTGCATCAACAATGTTTTATCTGATTGTTACCATGGCAAAGAGAGTGTAAATTTGTAAACAGATTGGTGATTTCATTTGACTATTAAACAGTTTCTTACAGCTCTCACAGCTGCAGTCCATCAATGTGACGTTCCAGAAGTGCAGTGATCCAACTGCTGATGAAGTACAGAACAATAAGGCATTCAGTACAAGGAAAGTCCTTCGCTACACTCAACCTCGACCTTAAACTAGGATAAATGTCATATACTGTAAACAATCTGACCTGGTTCTTTAGAAAATAAATTATACACCAGATAGTCAAATATGTGCAATCCGCCTTCAGTAACGTATACATCTGACATAACCGGAGGTTTGTTTTGATTTATCTCTTCATTCTCATTGTGTATCCATATCACTGTGTCTTGCTCCATCAACTCCTTCTAATGTACTAACCTTGGTCTCCCTCACTTTCCACCCCACAACTGTTCCGGCCTCTTTTCTTGTCATTAATCATTCCTTGTCTACTCTCAGATAAGTGCTTAAGCCTCAAAGTTCCTCTTTCTCTTCCATCAGCTTTCACCTTTCTCCTCATCAACTTACATCCCTTATAATCCCGAGTTCATCTTCCTCAACAACCTCCCTCCTCCATCCCCCTCCATCCTAATGATCCCCATCTTACACCCTACATCTCTATCATCCTCATCTGCCTCTCCAGCCTCATCATCAGACCTTCCATCCGCATCATCACCATCCCCTCCATCCTTATCATCAGCTCCTTCATCTTCATCATCAGCCCCTCCAACCTTATCTCAGCCCCTCCATCCTCCTCATCATTCACTCCATCCTCCTCCTCATCACTCCCTCCATCCTGCTCATCACTCACTCCATCCTTCTCTTCATCACTCCCTCCATCCTCCTCATCACTCCCTCCATCCTCCTCATCACTCACTCCATCCTCATCACTCCCTCCATCCTCATCACTCCCTCCATCCTCCTCATCATTCCCTCCATCCTCCTCCTCATCACTCCCTCCATCCTCATCATCAGCCTCTCCTTCCTCATCATCCTTACCCCCAACCTGAACTCTATCCCCTCCATCATCGACACCCTCCTCACCCTCCTCCTCACCTGCTCTCGTGTCGAATGTCACCACGAACACCGCCACTACCTGCTCCTCCTCTTGTCCGCCCGGCAGGGCCTGGGCTGCGGCCTCGGCCCCGCACGGCCCGATCCTCCCGCAGCTCGGACCCGGGGTCAACCCCCCAGCATCCCCGCCGCCCCCAGCCGGAGGCTGAGCCGTGAGAGCTGGAGCGGGGGCAGCGGCCCGGGGCAGCGTGACAGCGAGGCCTTCCTCATTGTCCAGGAGCGGGGCGCGATCTGCCTGCTCCACCATTGCCGGCCGATCCCTCGCTCGCTCTCTCTCTCCCTCCCTCCCCGGGCTGGAGACCAGCACCGATCACCACCGGAAGCTGCCGCCGTGCCGGAAGTGGGGCAGCGCGGCGACACTGGCCCACCGCCATATTAAGAAGGTCATCACACAGCCCGGGGCTCGCGGCGAAGGTATTTAATACATTTGCAATGAGTTTATATTATAGGCCTTCGCTCGGGGGGAGGGAGAGAGAAGCGGCTCAGAGCGCTCACAGTATTGGCGTAGGTTGACGCCGAAGAGATAAGTGCTTGAGGGGCGATGTGAAGACAGGCAAAGAGAGGGCAGGGCGAAGGGATTTGTACGGTGAGTCTTGGCCAGACTGAGAGTGTTCTCCAAAGCTGCTTCCCGGCTCACGCTGACCCACAGTGAACGTGACTGGGACAATCGGGTTCAGCTTCTCCTGCTGCCATGTTGGGGATGTGCCATCCACTCTGGTCCTCACAGCCAGTTGTAATGATCAAACAACAACGAATTACACTTGTATCGCGCCCTTCACATCGGAAAAAAACATTACCTGCCAACATGGCATTAATAATAATAATAATCCTTGCATTTGATATAGCGCTTTTCACGTCGGGAGGACGTCCCAAAGCGCTTCACAGAATACACTGTACAGTGAATTGACTGTATATTTGTGGGCGAACGCGGCAGCCAATTGCGCACAGCATTGTCCCACAAACAGTCGTAGATTGAAAATGACCAATTTTTTATTATTGTTTTGGGTTTTGGAGGGGTTATTATTAGGCTCTGTGTGGAGTAAGGAAACTTGCCCAAGGTTTCGCCCTCTGCCTGGAATTGAACTCAGGTCTCTCGCTTGCAAAGCGAGTGCTCTAACCACTGAGCTACAGGACTCCATTGTTTCTGTGTAAAGGGATCAGTCTGGTCATTTTGGCATTCAGCCTGTTGCTTGTTTGCAATTGATGATACCCATCTTGGTTACCCAGACAGTGTTGGCAGCATTGGCCTCCTTGTGTAAGGCAATCTTGCCGGACACAACTGGCATAGAATGCGAAAGGAAACATTAATGTTTTCTGCATTGTGTGGAAAGGCAAGTTTCTCCCTTGCCTCGGTCCTCCCAACAAATTCAGAAACACAACTCAAGAGTTATGCCTCCATTATGTGGAGAGATAGTTGGAAGAACGATGGCTGAAGTTTTCATTTTGTGTTGCTTATTTGGAAAGAAGTAGTTGAATCACACCCAACATTATGCCTGCAGTTTAGAAAAAGCTGACAAAAACCTATTGACATTGCTTACTTATAATAAAAATAATTATTATTATTATAATCCTTGCATTCAGTAAGGTGCCTTTCATGTTGGGAGGACATCTCAGAGAGCTTGACAGGATTCACTGCAAAGCGCAGTGACTATTTTTAATAAAAACAGAAGTCGCTGGTAACACTCAGCAGGTCAGGCAGCATTTATGGAGAGAGAAAACTCATCAGAGTTTGGACGAAATGTCATCGACCTGAAACATTTACTTCTCTCTAGATGCTGAGCGTTCCCACAGCGTGTTCTGTTTTTGTTTCAGATTTTCAGCATCTGCAATAATTTGCCTTTGGTGACTAAATAATAATAAATTGGTCACAACTGTTTGTGGGACACTGCTGTGCGCAATTGGCTGCTGAGTTTTGCCCACAAAATGTACAGTCAATTCACTTTACAGTATATTCTATGAAGCGCTTTGAGACTTCTAGAAGACATGATGAGGCACTATATCAAATACATAGATTATTATTTTTAATGTAGTGACGTTAGAAAACCCGCGGCTCTATTCAAAACAAAAACAGAGCTTCACAGCCGTTCACGATACATAACTGGGTGCAGTTTGGCTGCCTACCATGTTGGGACTACGGAGCACTTTGAGGCATCTTGATAACGTTATGGGCCGTTGTGTGAACTACAGGGATTATTATTATTGCATTCATCTCCTCCTGACTAACTGATCCAAAACTCCGCATACTCATCTGTACTAACCTCCGTAACCCCATCAAACCAGTTCTAGCCAGCCTCCACTGGCTCCCTCTTGCCAAAAAGATTGATTTCGCCTAATAATAATCCCTCCAAAACCAAAAACAATAATAAATTGGTCACTTTCAATCTACGACTGTTTGTGGGTCATTGCTGTGTGCAATTGGCTGCCGCGTTCGCCCACAAATATACAGTCAATTCACTTTACATTGTGTTCTGTAAAGCGCTTTGGGACGTCCTCGTGAAAAGCACTATTATCAAATGCAAGGATTATTATTATTTCAAGTTCCTCACACTTGTTTTCAAATCCCTTTATGCTCTGGCACCTCCCTACCTCTCCGACCCACAACCACTGCCTCCGCTTGACTGGCTCTGGCCTCCTGCATGTCCCTCATGCCCTCCACTCCACCATCAGTGGCCATGCTTTCAGCTATTATGCCCTGAAAATCTGGAACAATCTTCCCCTATCCCTCTGCCTTGCCTCATCCTCACCTACAAGGCCATCACGGCCTTGCTCCCTCCTACCTCTCCGACCTACTATCCCCCTACTTACCTGCCCGTACCCTCCGTTCTTCTGGCTCCGGTCTGCTCCATATCCCCTGCCCCAACCGCCTTACCACCGGTGACCGGGCCTTCAGCCTCTCAGCCCCAAGGCTCTGGAACTCCATCCCCCAGTACCTTCGCCTTGCCTCCTCCCTTTCCTCCTTCAAGGCCGGTCTCAAGACCTTTCTATTTGACTGTGCCTTCAGCTCGACTCTCTACCCCCTCCTCGCTCCCTCCCCTCACCATTTCCCCCCTGCTCCGGTGCTGACCCAACTGTCCATCGCCTTGGGACATCCTCCCGACGTGAAAGGCGCTCTATAAATGAAATCTTGTTGTTGCCTTTCCCTATCTTCAGATCGCGCCCAGCCTGCTTCAGGTCCCCCACACCTCCCGCCCACCATTGGTGGTCGGCCATTTAGCATCTTTGCCCCCACACTCTGGAACTCTATCCCGCAATCCCTCCGCCACAATCCCTCTGCCTCACCCCCCCCCCCCCGCCTTCGAGTTCCATCTAAAGCTCTCTGAAACGCTACCCTGGTTAGAGGGCACTATATAAGTGCAATTTGTTGTTGTAAAGACCTTCCGCTTCGACTCCTGATTGCCCAGCGCCCTGGGACGTCTTTCCGACATGAAGAGTGCTGTACAAGTGTAATTTGTTGTTGTTGTGTTCGAACATGCCCATGGTCACCTCCCCCCCCGCATGCTCCGCCACTGTGCGGCGGCGCTCTGGGACGCTACCCCGCGTGAGGGGGTGCTATACAAATGTAAGTTGTTGTGGTTGCCATTGTAACCTGTGAACCCCAGCGCCAGGGGTCGCCCGTTTATTGACCTGATCTGATCATGGGCTCAGGGCTGAGTACGATGACGTAAATGGCCGCCGGCAGCGGACCCCATGTCCCGTTTGCGAAGGTCAGGGACGTGCCCGGGGAATCATGTGCTCCGTGGCGGGTGGGTGGGCGGGCGGGCAGGCCGGGGCGGGTGGGTGGCCGGGGCGGGCAGGCGGCCGGGCCGGGCGGACGGGCAGGCCAGGCCGGGCCCGCCTTGCCTCTGCGAGCTGTTCGCAAATCGGGTTTATTTGACCTTCACAAGATGGCGCCGAGCGAGTGACTCGGGGAAGAGTGTAATGCGCGTGCGCGGTGCTGAGCGCTCTGTTTGTCTGGTCAGGAGCTGTGAGGAGTGAGAGAGGCTCCGGAGAGCGACAATGCTGCAGTTCGTGGTGAGTGACCGGTCCTGTCCTGGTGAGAGGGGAAGGTGGAGGTGTGAGTAACTGGGTACCCAGGGGGGTGGGGTGGGGTGCCGAGGGAGGGAGTGCCAGAGTTATCCCACGTTACCGGTGCTGGATTAGGGCACCAGCTGCTTTCCATCACCTCACCCAAGTCATCATTCTCCAGCGAATGTTCCCCGTGCTATTTCAATGTAAGAAGTTAGTGGGGGAGGGGGGGCTGAGGGGTGACTCATTACTGTCCTGCCTGAAGCTTTCCTCGCTTAACATCAGCCCCTTCCAATAGGTGATCATTCAACAGCAATCAGTAGGTTTTCCTTTTCTCTGGAAAGTGAGGCCAATTGTTGTACACAAGTGGTAATTGTTGTGCTCGTGGTTATCAGTTAACTCAGCAGATTGGGGATTAAACCCGTGACTGTGATCCAAAGGTCATTTTTCTCTCCCCCCACCCCACCCCCCCCACCAATTACATCTGTGCAATCTTTCAGATCAAGCTCTTCGATGCGACAAAGATCTAATTTGTGTCGTGACATCTTCTACTGGTGATTCCAAGTGGTGAATGGCAGACAAAAAAAAATTACATTTTTCGTGGTATTTTACATCATAAATGTCTTTCAAATAAAACACTGAAAGAGGATGTAGCCACGGAGCTTTTGGACTTGACAAGAACTGGTAATCCAGTTGCTGTTGGATAATGCCAAGTGATTATTGCTTTAAAATTTGTTTGGAGGTTTTCTGGTTAGAGGTTACTTTCGCAATGAAGCCACTGTCAGTAGCACCAGGCTGCCTTCAAAACTAACATATGTTGTGTTTAAACAAATCTATGATAGAAAAAAACACTGTTACTAGAGCCCTAATTCTATTATCAGTAATAAAACCGAGATTGTGCAAGAGGATGCCCAGCCTTGGGGCACTTAACAACCTTCGCTCTTTAAATTTTGTCAAAGAGCTCAGGAAAATATATTATTGATCAACTGGGGTCTGTTGCTCCTCGCAGCCGAGTCCTGCAGCCGATTATTTTGCAAAGCAGTATAACTCCAACTGTATAATGGTGTACAGTTGTGTATGTGGTATGTTTTGTGTGATAAAGTGGCTCTTTTAAACTAAATCTTGTGAGAAAATAAGTTAACTATTCTAATCTGATTTAACAGAAAACTTATATTTTCCGATGCAGACTAGAATCCATCCAGTTTAGCTATGACTCAGGGAATTGCTACAAGGCTTTCCCCAAACTCTCTTAATGTGGGTGTGCCACAAATATCTGCCAAGCAATACCATCGTGTAAAGCATTCGGCTTTTTAAAAGAAACAATGCTTTTTTTAAAAAAATCAATATTTTTACAGTCTTAATCACTTGTGTGACTTAAAGGTTAACCCTGCCCTGTTCACCAACGCTGTCATTTGCTCTTCAACCGTGCCTACAGTCACATCCTCTTTTCTTCCCAGTTCAGTGTCAGATACTCCCGATTTTCAACACTCCGAGATGCTACCCCGCCTGAACATTGCTATATAAATGCACGTTGTTTGTTGCAGTTGTGGTTTGTTGTCTTCAATAATAGTGCCTGGCCATGCATGGTGTGACAGACATCTTATTTCAACTTGCTTCCCGATAACACACAATCATTCTCCCAGTGACCTGATTGTTGTGGGTACATATAGTGCAGTCATTCTCCAAGTGATGTGAGTTGTATCCATGCAGCCATTCTGCTGATAAACTATTGCATGTGTGTGTGTTCTTCTCTGAATTACCTGATTGTAAATTGACAGCTCTGACCCAGTAATCTGGAACTGTATGTGTCCCATTTCAGGTGGGATTTGCTCTTGGAAACGTGGTGGGAATGTACCTGGCTCAGAATTATCAGGTAAAGAATTTGAAAACTTGATTAACTGTACTGCAGGAGTATTCAGTGCCACTCATAGGCTGCGCCAACTGCAGCACCTTTGGGTGTATCATTCGCACTGCCCGTAGCTGCGTAAGCTGTAACTCCAATGACTGTTAACTGTACTAACGTATGCTCCCTTAGCTGTGCCAGTGTGGGCTGCGTTAGCCATACTGCCACACAGCCCTCAGCTCCATCAGCCATACCATTCTCAGCTTTGTGTAACAGAGCAGAAATCAGATCTTTTCACATCTTTCTCTAGATCCTTGCATATAAATGGGGGATCCCATAAAGCAAAAGCCAGCAAGGGAATGCCTTCTTTCTTTTACCATTGTACAAGACCAGAGCATGATGATCCTTCTCTTTCCCCCCCTCCCCCCCAATTAATCTAATCCACTCCCTCTTCTAGCAACACACAGTATAAAATCATTATAATTGGTAAAGCAAAGTTGCTCGTTTACAATAAGATGGCAGTGCTGTGACTCCACCATCTCCCCTGAAGGCAGTATCCTTTGACTGAATCAACTCAATTTGTTACACTGTGTAAAGCAGAAGGTTCATCCCTGCTATCTTTTCAGGTTCCAAACATCACAAAGAAAATTGAAGAGTTCAAGAAAGATGCTGATGCCCGGAAAAACCCGCCAGACAGTAAATCATGAGATGGATTGAGAGTGGGATTCAGAGACTCCATTCACTGTCTCACAATAGATGGTGTTCTGTGACAGCCTGGGTCATCGGTGCTGCCTTCGTACTGGCTACAAAACATGACACAAAGTGTACTGGGCTCTGCTACACCCATCTTATTAGTTCTCGTTGTTCCTGATCTCAATTTGTTGGCTGCTACAGTTGATGGCAGCCAATGCTTTAATTTCTCAGCTTACTCCTTATCATGTTTACTCCCTCATATCTTTGACCCAGGGCCTGATTCCAAGCTGCTTCTGTTGGTGTAGCCCATTTAGTTATAGTCAAAGGGACTCGCCAGCTTTGTGCAACTCAATGAAATTGGGCTCCCAAGTGTGTGTCTGAGTCAATGACCTCACAGGAATTGATGATTGATATTGTACATGATCTAACAGTGCAGTGTGTTTATTGTATTGCTATCCAGTTATATTTCTCATATTAAATAATATCATTATCACTAATATTCCTTTTCTGCATTTTAAACTTTTGTTCTTCATTGCTGCTGCAAAGTGACTGCTGGATAGCATCGACTCGCTCTCCAAAACTTGCTCAGATATGAAGAATGTCTGGGGGAGACCATGTCTTGAGGGGAGAAAGTTGGAAAACTGGGTTCAAAGACACTCCTACTGATTTAGATGCACATTCCTTTTAGAGATGAACTCTTCAACTGGGAATTGGCCACATCTCTCTGATTCATTCCAACTGCGCACATGATGGTTGGACCTCCCTATCTATCCAAGCTTCTACCCCTCTCTTCCAACAGTTAACTCGGTTTTGCTGCATGCCCTCTGCGTCACCATTCATGACCAAGCTTTCCACCTCTAACTTCAGGAATTCCCTTCCTGAACTCCTCCATCTCACCCCCTCTTTATCTGTCTTCAAGTCCTGCCTTAAAACCAACTGCACTTATTGTCATCTATTCCTCTCCCCCCACCCCCCGCCACTCTAAAGCACTCCCGATGTTACTCTACGCCAGGGTGATCCAACTTTTTGGCTGCCGGGGGCTGGATTCCCTATTTGAGAAAGGTCTGGGTGGCATAAGTATAATTTTGTGTTTCCCTTTCAACATAACCACATCGTGGAGTCCTGTAGCTCAGTGGTTAGAGCACTCGCTTTGCAAGCGAGAGACCTGAGTTCAATTCCAGGCAGGGCGAAACCTTGGGCAAGTTTCCTTACTCCACACGCCTAATAATAATCCCTCAAAACCAATAATAAATTGGTCATTTTCAATCTACGACGGTTTGTGGGACATTGCTGTGCACAATTGGCTGCCGCGTTCGCCCACAAATATACAGTCAATTCACTTTGGGACGTCCTCCCGACGTCAAATGCAAGGATTATTATTAATATTATTATTACCACCTTTTTCATGTTGGAAGGACATCTAGACCTTGTGGGCTGGGCACCTGAGCTTGGGGTGGGAGCCGAGAGAGGTGGGATGGGCGGGGAAGGGAAGATGACCGAAAGTGTGGTCAAATAGGTCTTGACTTGCCTTGGAAGAGGAGAGGGAGTCTCCAGGAATGGAGAGAGCGGGGCAAAATGGCAATGGTGGGGCAGATGGGGTGGGGGGCATGAAGCAACCTGGTATTTGCTGGGCAAAGGCAACAGCTGGGTTGGTAGGTCGCAGGGGTAGGGTCAGGAAGTGCAATGAAGAACGTAAATGAACTTTTCACTGGGGAAAGGGAGCTTTCTGTGAGCAAACTGCGCAGCACGTATCTCTGTGTCCGTCCTCGGGTTTCCACCTGCGGTAGCCAAAGAGAGACTCAGATCTTCTGTCCTGATAGTGAACCATGAAACGCTGCCCTAACTTCTTTCTTTGCTCTCTCACTCTTTCTCTTCCGCTCCCTCATGCTCTCCTTCAATCACTCTACCAACCCCGCACCCCACCCCACAGTCTCTCTTTTTCTCACACACATACTCCCTCTCTCTCCATATCTCTCGCTCTCCTCCACTTTCCCCCCCTCCCACCTCAGTCCCTCTCTCCGGCAATCAGCCAAGTGGTCACTATCTGCAGAAGCAGGAACTAATTTGCTAAGGATGCGGTTGGTAAGAGACCCGCTTGCCTTCCTGATAGACTACAGTAACGGCCAGTATTATTTCTACTCTCCGTAGTGCGTCCTCCCAACCGCCGGCTCCTGTTGCAGCCCTGGGAGGATGTTTACCAGGGAGGGAGGGAGCGGAAGTTGGAAATGGTCTCAGGCTCGATAAAATGACCCACTCGGCTGGATGCCGATTATATAAATGCAAGTTGTTCGTGGCTTTAATGAGGGCAGGGTATATATGACAAATAATAACAGGAAAGAAAATGTGTAGAATTAAATTCAGACGTGAATGCCACTAGCACAGATCATTATGATGTCCTGCAGCTCTGGTTCACATATCCTCATTCACTCCTAGTTAACCAATAACTCCAGACATGAAATAGGCAAAGCTGACACTTGTGACACTTGATATTTATTCATCATACTGAAATCCCCAAATTATCATAAATATTCATCTTCAGTGATTATCCTTGATTTGCTTCTTTCATTCAATAAAATAATATCAAGAATTCATAATGGCCCTTCTATCCTCTTCGGCACTGGCATGTTGCAAAGGATGTCCCAAGACATTTAATTCACATACCTTACATCAAATGGCTATAAACTGGTTTAAGTATTCTCCAATCAATAAATGGTGTCTTTCAATGAAGATCAATCCAGAAGCCTGGAAATTCATAGCTGACCAAGCAACTGGTCTCCAGCTCAGCCTCTCTGCACAACAAACCTCACAATTAGACATAATTTATTATTTTCACCCCTAAAATACAAAGACAATCATTTGCAAAGTTCATTGAGAATGGGCAGTCTTCCACTTTTGCATCAAATACTATTAGAGTGCCCTGTCACTCACAGGCCAACTCAGTGTTTGTTACCAGTTTCTCAGGAGACTTTGGGTGGTTGTTGCTTAGGCATTGACTCCACATTGTTCAGTCAGGAAATCAGAGCTTTGTTCTATTAGAAACTTCCTTAAGCAGAAATCCGCTGGCGCTGACACCCAGCGCATGTTTATCTCACATAGGGACTCAACTCCACACACCCCACCCAACTCCCATGTTTTGTGGAAGCAAAACGTCTTCAGCATGCAGTGCAGTGGAAAGAGTGTGCATATATGCTGCATAAAAATTGGCAGGGAGTTGGCGGTGGGGGGTACGTTAAGCAATAAGCTAAACTTTTGATATGTTTCTTCTCTCAAGGTTCAGATCTTTAGATATTTCCAATGGGTTCACCTTCTTGTGAGTTTATTTTATTCAGCCTAAGCAGATAAACACGATTTTTTAAATTAAGCTCACAGTGTAACAGGTGCTGTTTCTGCTGAGGAGTGAACCAATTTGTTTCAGAGAGCAACTCTCCTCAGACAGCTAATCTATGAGGTGATGACCAATACCTTCATAAAATAGTACTGTCTGCACCATCTGACCGTTGACTGATCTCAGGGACAAGTGCTCTGTGATGTTGTTCTAAATTTCAGCTTGGAAAAATCTAAAGCTTTTTAATTTTACCTTTGTGGCACCAGCAAGAAAATCAGGCCAGGAGCAAAATATCCCATGTGTGCATTGGCAGCTGAAACAATACATGTTTATAGGATGTCCACTAAGACCTGTTACCCCCATGTTTTTTTTCTACAGCATCGACCAATAACAGAAACATTTGGAAGAATGATAATAATTGTATTTAGAAGTACTCAATTGTATTCAGTGTTTAACAAGTGTTTAACTGAATTCAGGCATCCATAGGATCGGTATGAGAGCCATCATTTTCATGGCAGATAATGATCCATCACCATGTTCAGTGCGATATCTTCTGTAACATGATGGAGTGAGGAGGTGAAATGCATTACTATGACAGCTTGCTTTAACTCCTCTGGTCTCATATTACTGTTTTTTAACAGAGGGGTAAGAGTACTTTGTGGATACCTTGTACAAAGGACCGCACACATATATATGAGTGATTACAAAAGTGTAGCCCCAAACCATAACAATCTCTCTTCCTGTACCCTATACGCTTGGTGACAGCTTCAGCTCTCAGAGCATACTGTGTTTATACTTTTAACTGCACGATAAGATCCTCCTGGTTTATAATTGGGGAAAAAATAAAATGGGACTTCAAACTCTGATGGCTCAGTGAGTAAATGCACCAACCATAGAATGAAGCTCCCAAGTTTGGACTGTGCTGAGATGGATGATCTCAGACCAGGGTGGGTGGGGGTGGGCATGGGGGGAGAGTGGCGTGTTAGAGATACCAACTCAATGTCCATGTCAGTCAAGGTTCCTGGTCCTAATCGCAATCCCTGGACCTCCTGAAAAACCTATAAGTGTGAACATCTAGTCAGTGATTCTGATCACCAATCCCTCTCCCCACCCCACCACACACACACACAGAGCAGAATGATTTGTCAATACCAATGGTCTTGGCTTACACATGAAGAATAACCACTTGTGTGAGGTACCAGAAGGGCTGCCACAGAAATGTACCCTCACCCACCACCACAAGTCATCACCTTCAGAAGAGGGAGAAAGCGGAAAACATTAAAAATACAAAAAAAACTAAACAAAAATTGAAGCCTGTAAAAGGTGGGAGAATGTTCTGCGACAGTCCTCAAAGAGTTGAATGAGGAGATGGCAGGGAGCTGACTGAGTTCCTCACTCTGCACAATCTCAGCAGTGATTCTCGCTGGATTCTCAGCACCAGGCTTCATAGATGATCACGGATCAAATCTTTTTTTAGCTGCTTCCTTGTTTTTTTTGGTTGTTACGCATTCCTAGTATGTTTCTTGCTCTGCCCCTTTGTTAAAAACTTTCAGTGACATTCTTGACCAGAACCCAGTCTGGGAATCCTTCCAGTTGGAAAAGAGGGAATCCCCAGGTGTTTATGGCCAGCATCACGGCAAGCACCCCGATGACATTCACCCCAAAGCCAGCTTTCACCTGAAACACAACATTGGGAGATTAGGAGTCACAGAGGCCCTGGGAAAATACTACCAGGAGCACTGTCGGGAGTGTCGAGATACTCAAGAAACTAAATGTATGTTTACACTATGATGAAGGGCACTGAGCCCTTCGTGCTTTCAGCTATCCCAAAGATAAACATTTAGCTTTGCTCAGTGGAATATTACTAACCTGTGGCGTATCCACTTTCCACAATTCGGCATATTACAATCTTATTTACATTGTTGGTGTATGGCAGTGACAGGTGTAATTTTGATGTATTGCAAGGTATGTCACTATAGCGAGATGTGCATTATTGATATATATACTACTGTAACAACAACTTAAATTTGTATAATGCCTTAATGAGATGTGTGCCAATGAGGTGCAACATTCAAAGTGAAGTGTGCACACTCCTGTATCAAAGCAATTGTTATTCATGATTATGTAAAGATTATTGGTCAGGTCATGCGACTCATCAAGTCTGAATGGGAAACTTTATCACAGTGTAGATCTCTCTGTCTTGATTTAGGCTTATCATGAACTGGTTAGTTAAATCTCCCATAAAATTAAAATCTGAAAACTGCACATATTGCATCCACTCACAACAGTCAGTACAAGACAGACTCTAGAGGATGGTGGCTCCCTCTCTCCAGTTCTATAATTCCACCCACACCTGGTTCTTCATGCAGTATACAAGAGCTTACCATATCCTGAATCTGACAGTGTCCATAACTGAAGACGATAGCATTTGGTGGGTTACCAACAGGCAACATCACTCCAAAGGACACACACATTGTGGCTGGTATCAATGTGTACAAGGGGTTAATCTGCAGAGTTTCTGACTGCAAGAAAAACAGAGAGGAGACTTCAGAATACAGGCAGAATAAGCAGCCAGAGAGTACACAGAAACACCTAAATAATGGCAGGCATTCAGAAGTAATATATTTGGGATAGTGCCTTTCATATTGATGCCCCAAAACACTTCATAACTCTTGATAACTCGACCCCATCTTAACTTGTCACTTCTAAATATACTGTAAAGTGTATACTGTAAAGTGTAGTGACAGCTTTGTAGGAGAATGCGACAGCCAATTTGCACACAGCAATGTCTAATGTATTTCAAGGGAATTTTTGACCAGAACACTGGGAGAAACTCCGTTCTCTTTTCAAATGGGATCTTTAACATCCACCTGAACAGGCAGATGGGGCCTCAGTTTAATGTCTCATCCAAAGGATGGCACCTCCAGCAATGCAATACAACCTGAAGCACTGTATGGGAGTGTCATCTTAGACTATTCCAAGACCCGATGTGAACGCACAACCTTCTGCCTTCGAGGAGAGAGTGTTACCAACTGGGCCAGCCTGAATCAGAGTAACTGATATCCAGGAGTGAGTTACAGCCTGGAATCCAATCAAGAGATTCATATAATTTAAGCACAGAGTACCAGATGCCTTGGGATGAGATACAAGTTGGATCTAATTGAGTTGTTCACAAAGTTTATCTATAGAATACTCTTAAGCAGGTTACAGCCTGGAATCTGAATGAGGAATACAATTCATACACATAATAATTAACCTTGAGCAAGTAGCTGGCTTGATTCTTAATCAATGGTTCAAATTGTTTATATGTACACGTCCTTATATTTATATATATATACACATATATATGCACATAGTAAACTCTTGATAATACTAATAATCCTTGCATTTGATACAGCGCCATATCATGTCTACAAGATGCCTCAAAGCAATTCACAGAATATACTGTAAAGTGAATTAACTGTGTTTTTACAGGCAGAACCATCGTTTCAAGGGAAAAGGGCATAGTGACAAGATATCCAGAGTGGCGAGTTAGGCCTATGTATAAATAGATAAATAAATGCGGCTGGGATATTGACAGCATGATGACTTAAGTGGAAGTGACAAGTTAAGCCGGGATCGAGTTATCGAGAGTTTTCTGTGTATATATATATATACACACACATACACAGATATATATAGTGTATAATATAATGGAGATGGTGAAACTAGGAGAGTGATTGCAAGGGTGATCTCAGAAAACTCAATATGATAAGAAATGGTACAGTATAAGAATCATCATAGGCAGCAGTGCTATCATTTGTAGTGCTTTTTATAAAGATTTTCCACATTTTTCACTAAACGTCAGCAACAAGCTTACCCTAGTACGGGTTAGACAGAGATTAAAAGGTCCTTTTAAATTACCCTCATCACCCACTCTGAGGTCAAGTACAGCACAGGTTAGATAATAAGGCAAAACTGCACAGTTCTAAAATGGGTCTTCACCCCAGTCTGTCCGCTGATGCACAAGTCTGAGATTCATATTCCTCACATCAACCATCCTAATGGCTGCTCTGAATCAGGTGGAAAATTCAATGCTAATTTGTTGTATTGTAGGGAGCTTATTTTTTTCAGGTAATACTTAAAAGGCCACTTGCACTTCCATTCAGTGAAGTTATTTCAGGATTAGCTGCTCCTAGCATCTGGTATCACCCTTCATTTTGGCAACAAGAAAATTTCACACCAGCAATTTGGACCCATATGAATTGTGTCTCAGAGGTGAAAGGGAGGAGACATTGCATCAATACATCAATACATTATTATTATTATGTCACTCAAACAAAATTCTCAGCATCAGCATTGCACAAACTAAAATAATCTGTGCATTCAATTGAAACATCTCAAAGTGCTTTACAGCATTTCTTATAAAGTGTAATGACTGTATTTTGCAAGCAAACAATTAGAAAAGTTGTGAGAGTGTAGAGTATCACACCATAAATGACCACTGCCTCCATGACTACAGGAGCTCCTTACCAAAGTGGAGAGAATGGGCAGGAAAACTGTGATCGTGGCAGGATTGCTAGCAAACTCAGTGACAACCGACACCAGGAGGCAGGCAATGAGTGTGACAGCCCACGGGGGGAGGCTGGTCATTGGCTCCATCTGACTTCCAATCCAGTCTGAGAGGCCAGATACCTGGGAAAGAATAACATCTAGTGAAGAAACTTGTTGGTATGAAAAAAANCTTAGACTAGACTGCAAAAATGATAATCTTTGCATTTGATATAGCATTTGATTGTATTTGATTGCAATCAAAGCGCTTCATAGCATATACTGTAAAGTGTAGTGACTGTGGCTCTCTATAAATGCATCGTTGGCTGTGCCTTCAGCCACTATGCCCCGAAACTCTGGAACTCTCTTCCTCAATCCCTCCTTTCCCCCTGTCAGATGTATCAGGACTGTAACAGTTAAACACAGTAGAATACAGAGAAAAGCCCATGCTGAATAAATAAACTATTTGTTGACCATAACATTCATAGAAAGGTACCCAGAGGAATGCGTGAAAGAGATACTGTAGAGACTTAGTTACAGAGGCTCAAGGAAAAGATAAAGAGATCCTTGGCAAAAAGCCGACATGGATAACTTGCCGCCTTGTAGGATCAGACTATGAGGTTCTCAGATTTCTGTAGAAAACAAGTTTAGGATAGTTTTAGGATACAAGGATAAGGTTTTTCCAGTAATCGTTGGGAGATGATGGGAGCAGAAAAGTCAAGAAGGAAGTCTGAAGGAAGCAGAACAGACAGAGAATCCTGATGTAACCCTTACAATTGTATATATTTTGTCATAAATCTTGATTCCATTACACTATGTTTTGAATATACTGCACCTATTCTTCAGCGTTAAATGTGTAAGCCCTTCAGAAAGAAGGGGAAACAAGGCTATCACCCCCTCCTTTCAAATCCTGCCTGTGGACCTTCCTTTTTGATTGGGCTTATGGTCACGTTCCCCCTCCCTCACCCCCTGGCTCGTTGTGAGACTCCGCCACTGTTAAGCGCTCTGGGACATTAGCCCACAGGAAGTTTGCTATTTAAATGCAAGTTGTCGTTAAGCATACAGTTGATGTACGTTCATGTACGGTGTATAGAATTGATGTACGTTCATGTACATGATGTACAGTGGCTAAATTTGCGGATGACACAAAACAATGAAGGTGGTAGACTGCAAAGATGAACTTGATAGGTTACAGGAGGACTTGAACATACTTGGGAATTGGGGAGATCGATGGCAGATGAAATTCAATGTAGAGTAATGCAAAGTGCTTCACATGGGACAAAAAATCCAGGAAGGGACTATTATTTAAATGGGAAAAAAAATAAACTGTATGGAAAATGAAAAGAACCTGGGGATCCTGATTGATCATAAGTTGAAGCTATGCTCGGTAGCAGTGAGTAAGGCAAACCAAATGCTGGGTTGTATTAAAAGGGCAATATTGAGCTGAAAATTGGAGTAATCCTGCCAGTTTATAAATCATTGATGAGACCGCATTTGGAATACTGCATTCTGGTCATCGCAATACGAAAAGGATACTGCAATGATTGAGAGGATACAGAGGAGGGCAACCAAAATGATTGAAGGCATAGAGGACCTGGACTGTGAAAAGCGATTAGATAAAGTAGGCATGTTCACGCTGGAGAAGAGAAGGTTGAGGGGTGATATGATTACAGTCTTTAAGACTCATAAGGGTCTAGATAATGTAGATCATGATAAGCTGTTTTAACTTGTACTGAACAGTAGAACCAGAGGATTGTTATTGTTATTATATTGAAGGGGGCTAAATTCAGAACAAATCTGTGGAAACACTACTTCAGTGAGCGAGTAGTAAACTTATGGAACAGGCTCCCTAGGAAGATAGTGGAAGCAGAAATAGTCATTTGTTTCAAGAACAAATTACATAGATTTCTGCTAGAGAATAATGTCTTGAGATACAGTATATAGTTTGGGAAATGATATGTCAAACAACTGCCAGGATGGTGGAAGGCAAACTGGATGGATCTTGGTCTTCTTTCATCTAGCAAAATCTTATGTTCTTATATTTATGATAACATATACTGCCGCCCTCTGCTCCAGCCCAGGAATCCTTCCAGCAGCAGCCACACCGACTGCCCCATTCCCCACTACCTTCACAAGCCACCCTGGACCCAGATCCCGGGGGCTAGCCTCTCCTCCCTCATCCGCATCCCCACCGCCCCTGCCAACCAACCCACCACCCCCTCCCATCCCACACATCTCCCTGTCAATTGTCCACTCTGCATTGGCCTTCAAAACGTCCGCTCCATCTCCAACAACACCCTGACTGTCAACGATATCATCCTGGATGAGAATATTGACATTATGGCCCTCACTGAAACCTGGATCACCCCAAGTGACATCTTCCCTCTCACTGAGGCCACTACACCCGGCTACACCTATCACCATGCCCCACACCCCAACCACTGTGGTGGCAGGGTGGCCCTCATATCCAGGGCGTCACTTGCCCTATCCCCCTACTCCACTGGCTCATTCCCCTCTTTTGAACACCTTACCCTCTGCCATCCCTCCCACCTCTCTCTCTAAAAATCCTCCTAGTTTACTGCCCCCAAAATACTCCCCCACTTTCATCTCTGATATCTCCACCCTCCTAGCTTCCCTCTGCCTCTGCTCTAACCTCCGCATCATCCTAGGCGACTTCAACCTACACTTCACCCCCTCCTGCTCTACCTCATCAGCCTTCTCCTCTTTCCCCTCCTCTCTCAAGCTCACCCTCCACATCCACTCTGCTACCCACACATACAGCCACCCGCTTGACCTGGTGATCACCCGGCATCTTAGATGTCACCATCACTGTCAAGGTCATCTCTGACCACCATTTAATCTCCCTCAACTCCCAGTAGCCTCTCCAAACCTACCACCATCTTCTACCGCCCATGGAAGAAGATCTCCCCGCAGTCCTTCTCTGCTGCCGTGGAGTCCTCTGAACTCCTCCCCCTCTGGCCCACTTCTTGCACCAACCCGCTCTCTGCGCTTACTCTTCTCCACAGCACCCTCCTCTGTCTTCACCACCATATCTTCCATGAAGCCCACCACCTGCTGCCTGGACTCCATCCCCAACCCTCTCCTTAAATCCCAGCACCACCTCCTTGCTCTACTACTCGCTGACATCATCAATCTTTTCCTGTCACCTGGCACTGTTGCTTCCCCCCTCAAAACAGCCATTATCACCCCCATCTTGAAGAAACCTTCCCTTAACCCATCCTACCTATCCAGCTACCGGCCCATCTCAACCCTCCCTTTCCTATCCAAGGTCCTTGAGAGAGCCTTTGTCTCTCAGCTTCACTTTTTTCTCTCCTCCCATTCCCTCCATGAGCCCCTCCAATCGGGTTTCCGTGCTACCCACAGCAAGGAAACTGCTCTGGTCAAGGTCACAAATGACATCCTGACCATGTGCAACCAGGGCTCCCTCTGCCTCCTCGTCCTCCTCGACCTCTCCACCGTGGACCATTCAATCCTCCTCCACCGCCTCTCCTCCCACCTCAACCTTCAAGTTTCTGTCCTTAACTGGTTCAGGTCCTACCTTTCACACCGTCTCCACTTCGTCGCAGCAAACGGCTTCTCCTTCAGCCCCCGCACTGTCTTGTGCGGTGTTCCTCAAGGCTCTGTCCTTGGTCCCCTCCTCTTCACCCTCTAAATGCTCCCCATTGGTGACATCATCCACAGAAATGGGGTAAATTTCCACATGTATGCGGATAACACCCAACTCTATCTCTCTGCCTCCACCCTCAACTCCAGGACTACTGGCATCCTGACCGCCTGTCCGACATCAAGTCCTGGATGAGGGACAACTTTCTCCAACTCAACATAAGCAAGACCGAGGCCCTCCTGATTGGCTCACGCCAGTGCCTCTGCACCTTGGGCGCTGGCAGCATCAGTCTCCACTGCTTCACACTCAACCTCACTAAGCCAGCCAGAAACCTGGGTGTCTTGTTTGACCCTGAACTGTCCTTGCTCCCCCACATCCGCGCCATGACCGGCACTGCCTACCACCACTTCTGCAACATTGCCAGACTCTGCCACTGCCTCACCCCTCAGGCTGCCGAAACCCTCACCCACGCATTTGTTACATCAAGGATCAATTACGGAAACTCCCTCCTTATCGACTTTCCCAACTCTTCCCTTCACAAGCTGCAGCTCATCCAAAACTCTGCAGCTCATGTACTCTCGCGCATCAGGCTCCGTGACACCATCACTCCCACCCTCGTCCGACTCCACTGGCTCCCCATCCCTCAGAGGATCGAGTTCAAGATCCTCATCCTCACTTTCAAGCCATCCATGGTCTTATCCCCTCTCTGACCTGCTGACTCCCTACTAACCTGCCTGCTCCCTCTGTTCAACAGGCTTCAGTCTGCTCCATGTCTCCCGCCCGACCCACCCTACCATCCTTGGCCAGGCTTTCAGTCTCTCTGCCCCCATACTCTGGAACTCCATCCAATGGTCCCTTCACCTCGCGTCCTCCCTTGTCTCCTTCGAGGCCGGTCTTAAGACCCTTCTCTTTGATCGTGTCTTTGGTCGCCCTCCCACCTCTTTGCCTTCTCACACCCCTACACCGCCCCTCCCCCATGCTCGGGCTCCGACGCCTGGCTGTTCAGCGCTTTGGGAAGCAAAATCCTTCCGACATGAAAGGTGCTCTATAAATGTAATTTTGTTGTTGTTGTACGATGGTGTCATGTTCATCAGTGACAACAACAACAAGATTACATTTATATAGTGCCTTTCACTTCGAGAGGACTTCCCAAGTGACACGTGTGTACTGCGAGTATTTGAGGGTTACTCTGGTCATAGTGTCACTGTTATACAGTTCATCTCTCAAACATTTTGCTTCATCCATACAACTGTTTTGGTAAAGGAGGTTACATCTTCTGATCACCATCCTCCACAGTCAACCTGCAGAAGAAGGCTTCCTTTCATTTTCTGTCTCCTCCTGACTTTGGTTACTTCCATTATTGTGGATTGTATCTGCTCACAATCTTTCCAATTATATTTCAATGTATGACCCTCAACCATGGACGTGAGAGGCAAGTTTACTATATCTGTACTAATCCATTGATCTTCAGCAGCACTTGACCTGGTTGTTCACGCACCTTTGTTAACAATCAGCTCATATGAGAGATATATACAAAGACATCACCTTCCAAAAGAATACCTGTACACCCAAACCAGTTCATAAACATAGGATAAGAATGGCATTGATGAGGATATAGCTGCTCACATGTCTAGATACACACATATGTGCATGTAGACACACCTACAAATGCACATAATGCCTTTGCATACACACATAAACACACACGTCTAGTTTTACCTTGCAGCCTGAAGCCAGAGTGTAGCCACCTCCCACCAAGATGACAATCTCCCAGGGCATGTGCTTCTGAAAGTCCTTCCAGTTTATCAGTGGGGACAATGGGTTGGAGATCTCACAGGCCTTAGAGTTTTCCAGACTCTTTGATTCCTTATCACTTTCCTCTTCTGTGCACAAAAAACAGAGAACTATATCTAACACTGTGCTTGTTCATTTGAAGATACAGATATATAAGGTATGTGGAAAAGGCTTTCAACAAGGCAATGACTCCAGTGACTGATCTCTGAGGCTAAGGTATGTGATCCTGTGGATGTGTACCCTTCAGATGACTGCTGCAACATGAATCAGACTCAAATGGTCTTCGTGGTCACAACAGGGTCACAGCATAGATCCGCAGCACAAAAGTGCATCCCATTAGGTACTACAATGCCTGCCATGCTGTCAGAGGACACTTTGCCAGTTGGAAATGATCAGTGCTTATGATGATGTTCATAGTGCAAACCATCACGAATGTTGAAAAAAGGCAGTTTAAATTGCACCAAGTTTAAATGTTTGCATGAGGAAGGGAAAAAAAAGAAGGAAGTTGATGTTGGGAGGTCAGGAGTTCCACAATTGTGAGGTCCTGGGAAAGAATGAATTGGAGCTGGTGATGTGAAATTTTATAAGGATCACTCTGACTGTTTGGGACCGTCACCAGAAAATTTAGCCTTTCACTTGGTACTTACCATTGTTTGTCTTTCCAAAACAAGGTAAAGATGGCTTTTTAGCAGGGATCAAGAAGAGGAGAAAACCCAAGAAGATGGAGACAGTGGCATCTGTCCTATAGCCTTTTCTAAAAAAATAAAGAGAATAATATTCAGAGAACAGTCAAACAGGACAGTGAGATAAAAATAACTGAAATTCTTCAACCACAGCAAACTCTTTAGTGACATAAAAACACCATGATAGACCAGATATATTAGCAAATCTCATTAGATCTTATTTTACACTCTTGATTCTCTCAATGAATGCTCCCATGTTTGCTTACATACTCGGTTCTGATAATGCTCCCAACCCAATTATTTAACTTATAGTGCAAAAACTTGCTCTTGGGTTAGAAGTAGCAGAGGGACAAAGCAACAAAGCTTGAATCAGAACAGCGGTTGGGGTCTTAATAATAATAATAATAATAATAATCCTTGCATTTGATATAGCGCTTTTCACGTTGGGAGGATGTCCCAAAGCGCTTCACAGAACACACTGTAAAGTGAATTGACTGTATATTTGTGGGCGAACGCAGCAGCCAATTGCGCACAGCAATGTCCCACAAACAGTCGTAGATTGAAAATGACCAATTTAATTGTTGTTTTTGGTTTTTGGAGGGATTATTATTAGGCGTGTGGAGTAAGGAAACTTGCCCAAGGTTTCGCCCTGCCTGGAATTGAACTCAGGTCTCTCACTTGCAAAGCGAGTGCTCTAACCACTGAGCTACAGGTCTTGAATTAAAGTGAGGGAGAAGGGAGGAAACTTGCATCAGATCAGAACAACTTGGATCAGAATGAGGGGAAAATGGATCAGAGTGAGCAGAGGAGTGAATTTGAGTGAGGGGGACGGTCAAGGCTTGGATTTGAGAGAGGGAATGGAGCTTTGAAACATAGGGTTGGAGAGGGGTGAAGTCTTTGAATTCAAGATCCTCATCCTCACCTACAAGGCCATTCACGGCCTTGCTCCCTCCTACCTCTCCGACCTACTATCCCCCTATCTACCTGCCCATACCCTCCGTTCCTCTGGCTCCGGTTTACTCCACATCCCCTGCCCCAACCGCCCTACCATCGGTGGCCGGGCCTTCAGCCTCTCAGCCCCTAGGCTCTGGAACTCCATCCCCCATTGCCTTCGCCTTGCTTCCTCCCTTTCCTCCTTCAAGGGCAGTCTCAAGACCTTTCTCTTTGACCGTGCCTTCAGCTCTCCCCTCGACTCTCTACCCCCTCCTCGATCCCTCCCTTCCCTCCCGTCACCCTGACCATTTCCCCCCTGTTCGGCTCCTGACCCAACTATCCAGCGCCTTGGGACGTCCTCCCGATGTGAAAGGCGCTCTATAAATGGAATTTTGTTGTTGTTGTTGTCATCTTGGATTAGAGTGAGTGCAAAAGATAGAGCCCATAATTAGAGCCAACTTGGGGGGTTGTCCCTGCTATCGGATCATTTAAAAGAAGAAAGGGACCATGTTCTTATATTAAATGTGTAATAATAATCCTTGCATTTCATATAGCGCCTTATCACATCATTGAGACGTCTCAAAGCATTTCACCTAATGTATGGTTCGTGGATTAGAGTTCAGGGAGTTGACTGGAAATTGTACAATCTTCAACTTACTTCTCAAAGAGTGACGTCCACCCAGGCACAAAGCCTGGTTCCCGAGTAAACCACAGTAAAGTCATCAGCACAAAGAATATTCCCGTCACCATTTCAGGGTACCTAACAAACAAGAGCAGTAGTCAGATTCAATCATGTTGTGAACAAATTCTGGCAAACTCCAAAAACAGGCAAATAGACTGGACAATTCCTGTGACACTCGTGCAGTGGGAGCTTTGGACTCATTCTCACACAAAGTGGAAGCCAGAGTCCGGCAATCGTGGATCAAGGAGGGAAATGACCGGGTGAGACAGTCCCCACACTGAAATTTAAGACATTACCTGAAAGGTCCCAATTTCTCGTACTCCTCCTGAATTCTTCTCTCGGACATCTCCTCACGCTTTGTCTTCCTTTTCTTGCTCAGAGAACAAGTTTCCTGAAAACTGACCAGATGGAGAAACCAAATTAATAGAACCACTTAATAGAACCATAGAAATTTGCAGCTCATTGACCCATCATATCTGTGCTGGCCTTTTTGAGGAACATTCCTTTCAGGCTACTTACCTGCCCTTTCCTTTCCGGTAATTTACTTAATTCTCTTTTGAAAGCTGATATGAGTTCTGTCTTAGCAATCACTTCCAGTAGGGCATTCCATATCCTAACAACTCTGTGTGAAAAAAATCTCCTAATCTCCCCATTTGTTCATTTGCTAGATATCTTAAATTGATGCCCTCTTGTCAATGACTCACCAACCAATGGAAATGATTTCTCACTACTGACTCGACCAAAAGCCCTCATCATTTTAAAGACCTTTGTTCCAGTTCCTCCTTAATGTGGCAAAACAGGACTGTATCGTTTCCTTTTATAATTCATAATTCTACCTCACTTTAATTCAAGACCCCAGCCGCTGTTCTAATTTAAGCTTTGTCCCTCTGCTACTTCTAACCCAAGAGCAAGTTTTTACACTATAAGTTAAATCATTGGGTTGGAACATTATCAGAACCGAGTTTGTAAATCTCATTAGATCTGATGGGCCCAAAACATGTCCACCCCCCACTGGAGTGCACATATCAAAGTTGAACATCAATTTAATGGATGACTACAATTATATGCAAAGGAAAGGTGCTCAGAGGGGTTGGATTTTGTCAAATACCAAATGGAACTAATGAATGAAAAATAGCACTGACGGCAATGAAACAATAGAAAATAGGATAAGATAATGGTGTGTTTTGCGAGTGGTGAGCACAGTTTTAGAGAGTATCATGAGCAATGGATTATAGCATGCTTGCAAAGAATGGGTTATGGAGACCTGTCGTGTATTGGTTAGCGCACTCGCCTCGCAAGCGAGAGGACCCGGTTCCATTCCAGGGCACGGCAAAACCTTAGGCAAATTTCCTCACTCCGCATGCCTCTGTTTACCTAGGAGTAAGTAGGAACCTGGTTGTTAGTCGATTGTTGGTTTGCTCTCTGGGGGTAATAATCCCTTAAAAAATAAAACATTTGGTCACTCAATCCACGATACTGCTGTGCGCAATTAGCTGCAGCGTTTCTCCCAGTCAATTCACTTTACAGTATATTCTGTGAAGTACTTTGAGCTATCTCAACAAAATGATAAGGTGTTATATCAAATGCAAGGATTATCATTATTATACTGAACAATACATTACAGAGAGTGGGCATCATAGGAGGAGCTGTCTTACAGGCAGCAAGGTGTTAAAGCTGCAGAACATTATACAAGGCAGAGTTGTTACAGACATCAGGATATTATAACCCCCAGTCAAAGACTAGAGTGCAGAAATGGTAGAATGGTATAAATTCCTATTATTTTTAATCTGTGATTGATGTTTAAAGTACTCTGAGACGTCATGAAGGATGCTATGTGAATGCAAGTTGTTGTTGATATACATGTTGTCATGTGCATGGTCCAGCAGTAAGAGACATGATGAAACGTTACCATCCTATGGAATTTTTAGCACAGGAGTTATGCATTGTCTGCCTCCAACTCCATACTTACTTGCAACCCAAGAAAAGCCAATGCATCCAGACCCATGTCAGCACCAGCATGATGATGGCGATGGGAAAACTAAAGACAAACCAGGTTCCAAAGTTGATGGAGCGTGCGTCAGGGTAGCGGCTGTCAAGTGAGAGAAGAAGGCAGAAGTCAGACAAGAACTATTGGCATCATAGGCAGGAGCCGTAAATCATCCACCAAATGGGGAGTGGCACAGGAGTTGATTTTTCGAGGTTGCTCTGAACACTTGTATATCTGCCCCTTTTACAGCGAGATTTGCAATGGAGAATGTTCCTGTTACACAAGAAAGAATATATTGAGGGTTGGATTCCGAACCAGACGTCTATTGGATGGAGTTTCGCCTTGTGTGCCAATCATGTAAGTGGATGTGCTAATCATGTATGTGATGGTCGGGTACAGGTGTATGTTGATGCTTATATTTGTTTTAGTGGGTTCCGGCGGCAGGAATATAGTGGGTGAAACAGGATTGTCAGCTCTGAGGTTTGTCATCCCAAAGGGTTGTCAGCTCTAAAGATTGTCAGCCCTGCTCTTCAGGCATATTGTGGGCACAGCAGGCTCAGGATGCATATTCACCACAATGTCACTTTCACCAGAGCTCATTACATGGTTGTGTGTTAAAGTATATCAGCAGCATCGATGCCGCTTAGTTTACGACAGTGCACCATGGTAACAACAGTCTGAGCCCAATACTGCAAATAAATAATTGAATGCAGGTCTGATCACCACAAGATAGCGACCTCTCCTAAAATCAGCCTTTCAACCACATTGATGCACTAAATACTTTAATTAATACCTATTTAGCCCCACCAAATGCATCCTCTCCTAAAATTTCAGCTTTGCAAATAAACCATTGCACTGAAAAAGTTAATTAAAGGCTGATTATCACCACTGTATGGCCTCCTCTCATAAAGTCTCAGCCTCACAATCACATCAATTGCACAAAATAATTAAATGCAGGTCTGATGAACACCACTGGGTGGTGCCGTCCCCTAAAGACAGCCTTACAACCACATCAGCCCCAACAGTGCTACGTGGAACAAATGAATAAACTTGCATTTGATATCATCTTGTCAAGATGTATCAAAGCGCTTCACAGTATATACAGTGAAGTGGATTGACTGTGTATTTTGTAGGTAACTGTGGCAGGCAGTTTTGCACACAGCAGAGTCCAACAAACAGCCCCGCCATGAATGACCTTTTTATTTGGGTGGTTGTTGTCCAGGTCACTGGGAGAAACTCTCTCCTCTTTTCGAATAGTGCCATGGGATCTTTATTGTCCACCTGAACAGGTAGGTGGGACCAGTCTAACATCTCATTTGAAGGACGGCACCTCCAACAATGCAACGCACCCCAGCATTGCATCGGAGTGATTTCAAGTCCTGATATGGGGCTTGAATCCACAGGCTTGAATCTTCTGCCTCAGAGGCGAGAGTGCTCCCACTGAGCCAGGCTAACACACATATCTAATTGTTTAAAGGCAACAAACAGCAGCAGTCAATCCCCTGCTTTAACAAATCGATCCCTGTAGTGTTGGATAATTGACAGAACAATAACTGCGATAAATATCACATTACAAGCCGAGTCCTGGAAATGGGGAAGCAGAATTTGGCACATGATTATGGTGAAAAACACAAAGACCTGTCAACTGAGTTCTGTTGTTCTGGTGAAGAGTCGCATGCAAAATGTCAACCGATCCAATGTACATCGACCTGCTGAGCATTTGCTGTATTTTAGTTTTTGCAATTTTCTTTACAAAATCAGCAAAATTCAACCTATGGCAATATGAACGATAATGTGAATGAATTTCCCGTCATCAAATCATTGGGCTAGTCGTGTGTGCAAGAATGTGAACAAATTCCAGCTTTCAAGTCCTAGATCTAATAGTGTGTAGAGGAAGGAATGCACTGCCTGAGAGTGAATGACCTGACCTGTTAAACTGCTCAGCAAAGATGAGGTTGGTAGAGGTGCCAGTGATGGTCATGAGGCCCCCAATGGTTGCTGCATATGTGATACTGAGCGACAGGCACTTGCAGATCATGTGGTCATGCTTGGTTTTATATTTGTTGCTGTACTCCTTACTGAGCTTGGTCGGACAGTGAGGTAGTTCGGTTTGGCCCTGGAAAGAAAGAAAGCAAGAGGACAATGAAGAGAAAGCCTGGATCAGTGAGTCCCATTCAGTGACTCACTGATCCATGCCAGACGGCGTCTCAGAGCGCTTCACAGTAACGGATCCCGGGGCCGAACCAGGGGGAAGGGGAGGAAGGTGACCAAAGGCGCGGTCCAAAAGAAAGGTCTTCAGCCGAGACCTGAAAATAGGAAGAGAGGGGGCGAGGCAAAGGGAGTGAGGAAGGGAGTTCCAGACCCTCGGGGCATAGTGGCTGAAGGCACGGCAGCCGAGGGTGAAAAGGAGGACTCGGGGACAAGAAGGAGGCCAGACCCGGTGGAATGAAGACAATGGGTACTATTTTGAGGAGAGAGGAGAGAGGAGATCAGAGAGGTAGGGGGGGTGCAGAGGAGTGGAGGGATTTGAAGACAAGGGTGAGGATCTTGAAGTCAATCCTCTCTGGGACAGGCAGCCAGTGCAGTCTGGCAAGGACTGGTGTAATCGGGGAGCGGAGTTTGGTGCGGGTGAGAATGCGGGCGGCAGAGTTTTGTATGACCTGGATTTTATGGATGGTAGTGGAGGGGAGACCTGGAGGAGGGTATTTGAATAGTCCAGCCGAGAGATGACAAAGGCATGGACCAGGGTTTCAGTGGCTTTCGGAGAGAGGTATTTGCGGAGACGGGCGATGCGTCGGAGGTGGAAGAAAGCGGTGCTGGTGAGGGACCAGATGTGGGAGAAAGGATAATTGGGGATCGAACCTGACGCCTAGGTTGTGTATGGGTTCGGAGAGTTTTAGTGGGAGGTTGGGTAAGTGGAGAGGTGAGAGCCGTGAGATTTTAGACGTTGATAAGAGCCAAAGTATGGCTTTTGTCTTGTCAATGTTCAGGAAACTGAAGAAAATTTGCGCTCATCCAGCTCCTCAGGGGACTGAGGGTTGCAAAGTGAAGTGGAAAAATAGAGTTGGGTGTCGTCCGCATACATGTGGAAGTTTACCCCATGTCTGCAGATGACATCCCCAAGAGGGAGCATGTAGATCAGAAAGAAGAGGGGGCCAAGGATGGATCCTTGGGGTACCCCGCAGGTAACTGGGTGAGAGTGGGAGGAGAAGCCGATTGTGCAGATGTACTGCTGGCCGTTCGTGAGGTAGGACTCGAACCAGGTGAGTGCGGTCCACTGAGGATGATGGAGGAAAGGCGGTGGAGGAGGATGGCGTGATCGACTGTGTCGAACACGGCGGAGAGGTCCAGGAGGACAAGAAGGCAGAGGGAGCCCTGGTCAAAGAGAGAGGATGTCGTTTGTGACTTTCACAAGCGTAGTTTCTTTACTGTGGGCAGGTCGGAAACCAGACTGGAGGGGTTCGAAGAGGGAGTGGGAAGAGAAGTTTGCACAGAGTTGATTTGCAACAACACGTTATAGGACTTTTGCGAGGAAGGGCAGGTTTGAAATAGGGCGGTAGTGGCTGGGATTTGAGGGATCTAGGGGAGGTTTTTTGAGGAAGGGGGGTGATGACAGCAGTTTTGAGGGGGGCAGGGACTGATCCAGATGAGAGGGACTGGATGATGACATCAGCCAGTAGTGGGCAGAGGAGGGGGAGTTGGGTGACCAGGATGATAGGATGTGTATCCTAAAAGATGAGATCAAATTCAAACAAAAGCCTTCATCATCTGCACTTCTTTTGTGACTTGTTCCAAGACCTTGGCCAATGTCACTGCAGCTGAAGAGGCTTAGCAACAGCACACTCATTCACAACTGCCCCACCTTTCGTTCAAGGTCTGAGTTTTGCTTTTGTGGCCAAGTCATGCCAGTTGCACGTCGAGTTCAGAAATTCTCACACAAAAAATTTCCAGTTGAACTAAAAAGATTGAAGGAACATTATCATATAGGACCCCAGGTTCACTTGACATGAAGTTGTCTTTCTTCTTCTATGCCAGTCTTATAGAATCATAGAATTATACAGCACAGAAGGAGCCCATTCGGCCCATCGTGCCAGTGCAGGCTCTTGAAAGAACTGTCCAAATTAATCCCACTCCCCCCCCCACCCCATGCAAAGTCAGTAAGTTGGGCAGCAACTGCTGTATTTCAACAACAACTAGCATTGAAGTCGTTTGCACCTTGTACACAAAATAAATGCCTCAAAGCACAAAGATGATAAAATGGAGTAGAAATGAAGGGAATTTTGTTAGATGGGCAAATGTTTCTTGGATTGTCTAGTCTGCATTTACTGAAGTTGGTTTGTTCTGAAGGCTGTGCATTCCTCTCTACATTCCCCCACCCCTATCTGAATGGCCAAGATTGTACCTGACTACCTGGTGAAGTCCTGACCTTCTCCCCTATGTTTGCTGCAGAGGCTCAGCCAGACACAGCTCAGTGCTGTATTTACTGAGTCAACACCAGCAACTAGATGCAGATGCTGAACAAACATCGCATTACAGCAAGGCCTCGACCTTTGGGATCTGTTATAGCGCTCAGTTACAACGCTAAGTTACGGCGCTATGATACGGTGCTATGATATAGCGCTAAGTTACGGCGCTATGTTATGGCGCTAAGTTACGGTACTATGTTTCGGTGCTATGATACAGTGCTATGATATGGTACTATGAGTTTGTGTAGTTGTAATTAGAGCAGATTATGAAGCCTAATGGGGTCACCAGATCCAAAACAGTCATACTTGGCCCTCCTAGCTTGTCTGTCCTGAACCACTCTATGACTGCCAAAGGAAAGTGGGTACTGCCAAAGGAGAAGGAAGACATGTAAATGTGAACCCGGGGCCCCATATCATAGCACTCCTTCACTCTTTTTAGTTTAACTGGAAATTTGTTGTGTGAGAATTTCTGAACTCAACTTGGAAGCTGACATGACTTGGTCACATAAACACAACTCAGATAGAACCTACAAGGTCAGCAAATCCTGCCAAGCTGTACCGAGGGGAGATGAGGCTGTATTGTGGCCATTTTTAAACAAGCACGTACCTGGGGAAGGAGCACATTAGGTTTGACTTGCCCATTGGGAACAACCAGTGAGGTCAGAGCATTAACATCCTGTAAACAGAAAATGGCCTGTTACAGCTAACTAATTAAATATGGTATTTTCTTACCCTTGTCCATCTCCTTTCACTGTGTACCATCCCCAGCCCAAAAGGCTGGTCTTCCTTCTGCTTTTCCCCCCCCTCTTAATGGCAAAACCCCTGTAATACACTTGGTATTTCACTGTGACATGGCTGAGATTGGGGGAGAAGTGTGAACCCCTACTGCGCTCGTCTCGATGGTACTGTGGTGGCATAAACAAAACCAAGATAATATCCGCTCTCTCTAGTTCAACTACAAATCACACAGTCACTACACTTTACAGTAAATTCTGTGAAATAGTTTGAGATGTTCTGTCGATATGAAAGGTGCTTGCGATGTCAAGTGCAAATTTTTTTATTTAAGGACACAAACAATGTGACAAGTTTATAATTGCTATTGATATTCGGGTCAGTGATATCCATTAAAAACAGTAAAGTTAGCTAGTCTTGACCCTGTACCAACACTTAACCGAGCTGCGGAGTACACTGGAGCCTTTAAACATCTTCAGGACTTTCTCATCACTTAATGGTTTTCACACAGACAAGTAATGTGATTAGCATAAATATGTAGAGTGATTGGTTCCTATGGGGTTTAAAGACCTACCTGGGATTAACATTAATACTTGAGGTTTGTGGCTGGATTGCTCTCTCTTACCAGACCATCCTTGGTTTAGAATTAAGTGTGCCGTGTTCATGGCTGGCACTGTGGGGCTATCCTGGATTAGGAAAGTCCGTACACTTGGAATAAAGAAATGTGTAATCACTGAAGCTCTAAAACACTGAACAAGCTGAAAGTTGCATTGAATGTTTTAGAATTTCAACAATTACACATTTCCTATGCTATAGGGTGACCATATTTTGTAAACAAAATCCAGGGATATATATTAAAAAAATTGAACTCACCACAACTCCTGATGCTGGCAGTACTAAAGAAAATTGGTGGATTAATGGCTATATTTCTCTGATGAGTAGATCTGTTTTAGAATTTTGTTTTTCTTCCTCAGCTTGTTGCTGAACTCAAGACAGGGCAGATTTGGCCCCAGGGACACAATACCTCATCTGGGGACTGTCCCCGGACATATTGTCACCCTAACTGTACACCCACACTAACTCCTTTCACAGTCTCATGCTTTGTGCCTGCCCAAGATTTTGGGTTTAACTAGGAATCTTTCAGATGAAGCTTTACAATAAGCCTTGTGAATGTCTACAAATCGATAACTTAGAATAATGGATCAAGGTGGGGGGTGACTTGCAGACTGGAATTAAGGGGATCAGTTGGAGATTTAGATCTAGAATGATGAATGATAGAATAAGTTGCAGACAGCAGTCTAATTGAAGAGTTTAATGCCAAGTGTCAAAGCTAGATCCCACATACTTCTTTCCTTCTCTCTCTCTCTCTATATATAAAGCAATCATCATGCTTCACAGAAAGGTGCTAAAAAAGCAATCAAACTGTTGATCACCTTGTTATTTCAACAAGTCTCAGACAGTTCCAAATCACACACTGGGGTATAACACACTGCAAATTACTGCCTTAATCTCGTTCACTATCGTCTGCAGTTAAGTCGCTGTCAAACATCATAAAGCCACTGGAGGGAGAGAACAGCGAGGTCATAAATTTGTAAGGTACATAGCCTGTCAACAGCCAACCCGGGATCAGTGCTGGTATTACTAACCTGATCCTTGGGCTGACTCAGCATCTGCAGATCAAGTTGGTTGTTCTTTGCTCCACTGGAAAATTAAAAAAAATTGAAATAATTCCACTTGATTTATGGGCCAAATAACTCTGAGCTAATTCACAGTCTGGCTACAACAACACCTCGTCAGCTCTGGACAGCACAGTTATTCTGTTGTATACAGGCATGTGCTAGAGCTTTTTTTTAAGCAGGACTTTCTCACCACTTAACCATGAAGATTTTTTACACAGACAATTAATGCGACTAGCATAAGTATGTAGAGTGATTGGTTCCAATGGACCTATCTGGGATTAATATTAGAACGTGGCTGGTTCGCACTCTCTTTCCCAACCCTCCTTGATTTAGAAGTAGGTGTGCAGTGTACATGGCTGTTCATGCTAGTACTGTGGGCCTATCATGGATTAGGAAAGTCCATACACTTGGAATAAAGAACCTCTAAAACACTGAACGAATTGTAGATTGCATCAGTTGTTTTAGAAATTTGACAATTACACATTTCTTATGCCACTTACACCCACACTGTGCTTTCCACATTCTTCCCTCTAGCCAATTACATCCGACTTTAGCTTCTCCTCCAATTCCAGATTTTATTCAATGTAATTTTATACATTCCCCCCAATCCATCGCAGTGAAACTTACTTTTCATTGAGTAAGATGAACTCAAGCTGTTTCTTTTCATTCTCCTCTTCTACTGGAAGGAAACAGAGAGGCAACAAACAGAATAAAACACCGACACATTGCAGAGCTGCTCATTTTTGGGGGGGTACGGGAGGAAATTAAAAGATTCATGTGATTGTTGACTGGTAGTATCCATGTTAATGTAAAATTGCTGTCAGCCAAGATAATCAAATATGAGGCTACATTCAGAAAATTTGATTATAGGTTAAAAATATTTATCTACTAATATGCAGTCACTACACTCACAGTAAGATCCTGTGAAAGCTTTGAGACCTCAACAAACGAGATAAGGAGCTCTATCAAATCAAAGTATTATTATTATTCTAACCTAGCATAGGTTTCTGTTGAGGCTACGTTTGGAAAAGTGGGTGGTTTATAAAAGGGCCTAAATACTTTAGAGAGAGTTAATGGAAGCGAAATATGGATTTTTCTGGTCTTCAAGGCCTGAGGAGAGTCTAGCTACAACTCAATATGGATAAGATGGAAACTATCCTCTTTGGCTCCCACCACCGTCTCCCCACTTCCAATTCTGATCTCTTCAATCTCCCCGGCCTCTTTCTCAAACTCACTGAACCATTGAGTAACCTCTGCATTCTCACCCATACGAAACTCCACTCAGCAATCACCCCAGTCCTCGCCAGGCTCCACCAGTTCCCTGTTTCCCAATGGATCGCCCCAGGTCCTCATCCTCACTTATATATCCCTTCACACCTTTACTCCTTATCTCTCTGATCCTCTCCTCCATCGCTCGACAGTCAAACACCAAAATCCAAGAGTATGCTCTCAGCTTTACAGATGACACTATTGTGATCGGTGTCTCCACTGAGAATACTGTGGGAGAAATGGGACGGAACAGTAGAATTCAGGAATAAGTATCTGGTGGGCCTTAGAACACACAGAGTCCAAAGGACACTGAGATTCCTTTCTGATAGAACATATTGTCAACTGTATTGCTAAATTGTCAACACTCTATGTATGTACGTGTATGTGTGTATTTGTGTATGGGTGTGTGCATACATATACCTGTGTGTGTTGTATAGGTGTGGGTTTATAGGTGTTTGTGTATGTGTGTGTCCATGTAGATATGTATGTGTATTGTATGTGCGTGGAGGTGTGTATGTTGCCTGTGTGTATAGGTGCAGGAGTGTGTTTATTGTGTGTATATATTGTGTGTGTGTGTATATGTGTATGTGTGTAGGTGTGTGTATATTGTGTGTATAGGCGTATGTGTGTGTATCGTGTGTACTGTGTGTGTTGTCTGTGTGTATACGTTTGTGTGTTGTGTGCCTGCTGGTATCTACCTACCATACTTTTGGGAGCTTGAGCTGCTGTAGGTATCTTCCGCACTGTCTGTGTCTGTGATCACCGCCAGCTCCACATCAGACTCCAAGCTGGTGTTGATGAGTTGCTGCAGGACGGCCTCAGCGATGGGCATCACCATGGCTGTGGTGGAGGTGTTACTGAGCCACATGGACAGGAACACGGTGCAGCACATGAACCCTAACACCAACCTGTGAGAGACAGACAGGGTAAATGCCATAATAATAATAATATTACTCCTTGCACTTGATATAGCGCCTCATCACTTCTTCGAGACATCTCAAAGTGCTTCACAGAATATACTGTAAAGTGGAGTGACTGTGTATTTTGTGAGCAAAACGTGGCAGCCAATTGTGCACAGCAGTGTCCCACAAACAGTCGTGGATTGAAGTGACCAATTTATTATATATTTTTTTGAAGGAAAAGCGATCCACTAATTGACTAAAAACCGGGTTCCTACTTACTGCTAGGTAAACAAAGGAGTGTGGAGTAAGGAAACTTGCCCAACGTTTCGCCCTGCCGGGAATCGAACCCAGGTCTCTCGCTTGCGAGGCGAGTGCTCTCACCACTGAGCTACAGGACTCCGCTCCAATAGCTCTCACTCTGCCCTGTTTGATGTGCCCAGGCCCTCGCTGACGTACAGTGGATACCCACATGCCCGGCTTGGCGCCCGCTATCATCACCATGCGGAGGGCGATCCTCTTGTGTAGGTTCCACTTCTCAATGGAAGCGGCCAGGCAGATAACCCCGATCAGCAGAAGCGTTGTGTCCTTGAAGTACTCCGAGGCCACCTGTAGACAATCAGAGAGACGGCATCAACTTCAAAACAAAACATCTCTTAAAACACAGTAGAGTACAGCAGAGTGCTCAGAGTGAATTATACCTACGTCACACTGAGAATTTCCTTATACATTGAGTCACCAACTTCCCCTCTACACCACACCAATGCCTCTCACACCAGAACCACCCAGAGCCTTCACCCAGCCCAGCCACTCTCCAGCCCATGACCAATCCCCAGCCCATCCCCCTCTCCCAATCATTGCCCCTCTCCCACCTCATGCTCCTCATCCAGACAGTGTTGAGCAATGGCTTCCACAATGGCCAGTGATTCCAGTGGACAGACGTTTAGATTTCCGATGTCTGCCTCTCAAAAAACAGAGACAATAATCAGCAACTTCAAAGAGATGTATTTAACATCCAAATAATTAGTCAGCCCCTACTTGCCACATCTCAGAAACTCCAATACTTGTTCATTCCCTCCTAATAATTCTTTGTAAGTTTGTGGTGAGGAAAAGTAAACATAGTTGAGTTCAGGCTGACACATGAGAGGGCTCCACCCAACCAATAAAGGTTTAATTGAATTATTCTCCTAATCTCCAAATCACAATGTGACAAATTCTGAGAGTAGATTGTGTGGGTTGAGCAGAAGGAGCTGTTTTGGATTGTCTTTTTTGACATTTCCAGATAGAAATAGAAGCAGGAAGGTTAAGTTCGTTACTGTTGATAGTTGGTGTCTTGGCTCTAAGCAAAGAATGAGTATGCAAATGTACGCTTTTGCATCCTCTCCTCCCTGCATCTCATTGTACTGTAATGAAAACTCATGGCACTCCTGCTTATTGTCAATTATTTTCCTCAGGACCTACTTTGAAACTCGCAATCCATTCAATCTTCCCTTCCTTCTATCAATATCCCAGTTTGGTGTTATCTTATCTAAACTATTTGATTTATCTATTCTGTTCTCTTACTCTTTTCAACATCAGTAGACATCAGTCCTTCATCGAAAATGAATAACCTTTTACATTATAGTTACATTTGATATAGTGCCTTTCATGTCACAAGGACGTCTCAAAACGCTGCCTACGATATACTATAAAGTGTAGTGACGGTATATTTTGAGGGTAAACAATGCCGCAGCAATTTACGCACAAAAATGTCCAATAAACTACCATGAAATTAATATGAGATTGTTAACCATTGGCGAATTATTGGGATTGAAATCTAGATTTCCCAGTAAAGAAATTACACCTCCTACCTAACTGTGATACAGTTCACATTTGTGTCACTCCACCTGGGTTGATGGCTTTCCCTGAATATCTTTTAGGGAACTATGCGCAATAATGTGTAACTGTTTTATTGTTTAATGGGGATACGTAAAGGATTCATTTGGATTTCAGCAGTGAGCCTGGTTCTGACACGTTATACTTTTTATGGAAGCATGTTATTGAAATGTAAAACGGACAGACAAAGATTGTAGTTCAGTTAGTTTGTTGAGTATACCTGGACAGAGCAAGTCCCCTTCTGCAGACTTTACTGTACTAAAATATCAGTTCAGAGACTAAAGCTAAATTGCCATAATGTGACCGGGTCTTAGCATCCTGGTCACTTTCCTCCTTACCCAACTGAGCTCCAATAAACAAGAGACTGCTCAGTCTGCAGTCGACACTGTTTGCTCAGAGATAAGGGTTCAGCACTTCAGTATTAAAAGTTCAGCATATGTGTGTGTGTTTGTAAGTATGGAGGAGATGGGGTGATAAATAACCCATTACATTGATAAGTGATGTGATTTTAAAGAGGGAACTTTAGCCCCCGTCTCTGACGCACTGCAAAACAGCTCTAATCATCGGAATGAAGTTACAGATTGACTTCTGTTTATCCCTTGAGCGATTTTATTTCACCCTTTTCTCGAAAATATTAGCATCTTAGGTGGCAGGAGATGTGGGAGCACTGGCAGTGTGCACTGTGGTGTGACAGGACCACACTTTCATGACAATGATTCCTCCACTGAGTGCTGAATTCTCAAATCCACTGTACCAGAAAGGCTGCAAACCATAACTCACAAGTACAAAGGGAATGGCTGAAAAAAGAGTACCCCATGTCTGACCCCAATATAGATTCCTATTATTGGTACAAGACTGACATCCAATACAAATCTCTGACACTGGTGCAAACCCTGCTAGGGCAACATTTATAGGGGGAAGGGGTCTGCAAGTATTTTGTCCACAAATATTATTATTATGAATATAGCTTGGAAACCCGAAAGAGGGGAAGGGAAGAAAATAACAAAGAGAGGAATCTCACCATCAAACAAATCAAATATTTGCTCCCCAAGGAGTGAGTTGATGAAAGTTGTAACCATGTCCCACTGTGACACGGAGTTAACTATTCTCAGACAAGGTAGCACTTTTCACTGGAGGATTGTTCCAATGATTAAGGTGAGTAAACTTTAGCCAGTTGGCAATTTTGTCTGGAGGTACAATGGTCAAACAAAGGACTGATCACAAAATCAGTGTCATTGGTCACTAAAATGTTGACAACTAAAAAATTTGTCATTCAATCATCGATCCCTAAATCATTAGCCACTGAAGCCGTGGTTACAACGCAATAGTCACTAACTCATTGGTCACTACGCTATTGGTCACGAACCTACTAACCACTGACCTGGTGCTTTTATTTGGTAGCACTCATTTATGTATCTAGACTTCACCACACATCCAAGTTTCTCATCTCAGTGGAGCCGTTGTGGGACACACCAAGTGCAAGGTGGAGGCGTATGTCCCCCAATAAAGGAGGGAAGAGAAAGAGAAGGAGGTTCACTCTGGTTTACTCCTGTATATCGCATAGGAATGTGGTGCTCCACAACCAATTTGCTTCACTGTTGTCATACAGACAGACTCAAGTGATACAAGCAGACAAGAACTTACAAAAATCTATTTATCTTTTTACCATTACATTCTAGAAATGTTCAGATGCTTATATAGTGCCCTTCATGCTACCCTGTATGGAGGGCGCTATATAAATGCAAGTTGTTGTTGTTTTGTTGTTGTATGATTGTTAAGTAGCCGTCACTGCCCCAGCAACCTTACTGAAGGATGTAAAACGCAGTATCATAATGAAAATGGGGGGCATCTAATTCCTTTGACAGCATTCTGACACCAAGAGATTAGTTCTTTGCCAGGCTTCAAACTAGCCGCCTGGCATTCAAGAGTCTGAAATTTAATTAAAATGTTTTCCTAATCATAACAAAACTTTAAATTCCCAAATCCTCAAAGTAGGTCACTTCATCCATAAAGCTCTGTCATTGGCTGAAGTTTACAAATCCCATTCGGCATCTGATAATAAAAAGATCCAGACTGACAGCAGTGTGAAGACTGGGGAAGAATTTCAGGTTCAGTCCAAAGCTCTTAGGAACCATGGACACACAAAGTAGAGCACATGCCATGAGGAAACTTGAGGAATGAAAAGCAGAATTCCAACTTAAAGGCTTTCAGTCATCTCCATTGGTTGGCTCCATTTGTAGCACTCCCTTCTCTGGATCACCAGGGGTGTGTTCATCCTCTAACTCCCCCCCCCCACCCCCAACCCCATATTGGGATTTCAGCTCATAGTCTACATTTGTCTAAGGTTGTGCGAGTGTGATCTTGATGTGCACAAAACAGATCCCCCCACATTCACACACACACTCATACACACACTCACAAAGGTAGCAGTGCACTTGAACTAACTACTGCAAAGTATTTTGTGAGGTTTCAATGTGAATGAGATGCTATAAAAATGTATTTCTCAATGTGGCAGAAAGTGGGTTCACTTGGGGACGGCGGAATTTGCAAGATTTTAGCAAAAGAATTCATGGAATTCTGAAGGTTACCCAATGAGATGATCCTCTGCATCCCTGCTGATATGCCAGTCTCCGGCGTAAAGATTTAAGTATTAAATCCATGCTAGAAGGTGAGGACTAGCAATCGTAGCACCTGAGGCAGTCTTAATGCCCATTCTCAGTGTAAAAATTGTCATGTGCCTGTTGTACCCGAACAACCTCAAACTGCTGAGATTAGATGGCAGACATCCTGAAATCCTCAGGGAAATGAGGCAGGAAAAATACAAGGCTCGGGCTAATAATTATATAGAGGGTACAAGTAAGGAACGGTATCTGAGGAGGTAAATGGTACACAGACAAAGAAATCCATTTAGCCAAAACTCTCCTGTAGGAAAAACTCTCAGGGGTAATTTGGCACAAGGAATGTTATTAATGATCATCTAAAAGGATTTTAAGACATAAAGAAGAGTCAGCATGGATTTAGAAGCCATAGGTTATGCCTGATAAATCAATTGCAATTCTTGGAAGAGGTAACTCATTTAATAGATCAGCACAATTCAGCAGATAGAACCTACTTAGATTTTTGAAAGGTATTTGATAAACGACAACAATAACATTACATTTGTATAGTGCCTTTCACGTCGGGAGGACGTCCCAAGGCACTGGACAGTCAGAGTTTCAGACACGAGCTGGTGGTCAGGATTGGGGAGGGTGGAGAGCAGGAGGGAAGCAGGGTGATCAAAAGCACGTTCGAAGAGAAGGGTCTTGAGATGGGTCTTGAAGGAGGTAAGGGAAGGGGCTGTGGGATAGAGTTCCAGAGGGTGGGAGCAGAGTGGCAAAAGGCTAGGCGGGGGACGTGAAGCAGGTCGGAGCTCGCTGAATGGAGGAAGCGAGTAGGATGATAGGGCGTTAGGAGGTCACAGAGGTAGGGGGCAGCAAAACCATGGAGGGCTTTGAAGGTGAGGGCCAGGATCTTGAACTGTATCCTCTGTGTGATGGGAAGTGGACTTGGGCGAGGATGGAGGATTTAAAGTTCCACTATATGCAGGAAACATGTCTACACAAGGAAGGGATGGCCATTATTGAAGTGGAAGGAGGAAAAAGAATTTGTATGTGATGACTGATCATTCATCACTTGCATCCAGGCAATGTGAAGTGGTTATCAACCCAGTAATCAAATTCTAGGATACATCTCAA